ATGGAAACGGAAGGAGAGGGGAGGGGAGGGGGACAGAAGTGGGCTAGAAATGGCTGACCGACCAACAACACTAGATACCCCATACAAGCCCCTCCCTTTCAGTCTCACCTGGCTCTTGAGCACGTCCGCCCCCTTGAGCTCCTTCAAGTTGTTCTCCTTGAGCGTCGTGCCTGTGCTGACCAGATCCAGAATGGCGTCCGCTGTGCCCATCTGCAGTGAGGAGGGGAACCGTGCAAGGGGCATCCCGGGTGGGAACCGGGGGGAAAGGGGAGGAGGGGGGGGAGGGAGGAAGGGGTTGGAAGAGGCAAGGATGGTGCTGGTGCTGACGAGGTCAAGAATGGCGTCTGCCGTGCCCATCTGCAGTGAGGAGGGGGGAGGAGGAGAAGGGGAGGGAGGGGGGTGGGTGGGGAATGGAACAGCAGGATTCGTAGGGGAGAGGTGAAGCTGCTCGTTCCTTTTGTGCCCATTTGGAACGAGGAGGCGGAAGAGGGTGGAGGAGGGGGTGTGGAAGAGAGGAGGGATAAAAGGAGGGAGGAGGGATAAAAGGAGGGGGGAGGGATAAAAGGAGGGGGGAGGGATAAAATGAGGGGGGAGGAATAAAAGGATGGGGGTAACGGATGGGGGAAGAGAGGCAAGGTTGGTGCTTGTGTGACCAGATCTGAAATGGCGTTTGCTGCGCCCATCTGCAGAGAGGGAGGGAGGGAACCGGCAGGTGGGGAACGAAGAAAGATGGTTGCAGAGAGGTGCACGCGGTTGGAGGAGAGGTGCACGCAGGGGGGGAGTCAGAATAACCCTATTGGGGGGGGGGGAGGGGGGAGGGGAAACCCTTCATTTGAGGCGCCTCAAAAGTCAGAAGAACCCCATTGGAGGAGGGGCGCAAAACCCTTCATTTGAACGTACTGCGGGGGCAGCTTCGAGGGCACCGTCAGCTGTGGAGAGTTGCACGTGGGGGAAGTGGAGGAGGAGGGTGGGGGGGGGGTATGAAGGAACAGCTCTATTCACTCAAACAAGGGTTTGGGGTTTTGTCGACTCACCGCAGGAGCGGCTTCGAGGGCGCCGTCAGCTGTGGAGAGTTGCACGTGGGGGAAGCCGAGCTGGTCGAAGAAGCGCCGGCCTAGCTGCAGACGTGTGAAGGGGAAAAAGGGGGAGGGGAGGAAGCAAGGAAAGAGTCAGCAAGGGAACGGCGTGACACACAGGCGCCTTCCTTCCAGGTGCACGTGGGAGAAGCTGAGCTGGTCAAAGAAGCGCCGGCCTAGCTGCATACATGTGAGGGAGGGGAGGCGCGAGTTGAGAAGCCGGGGGGGGGGAGAGGGGGAAGATTAGGGGGAGATGGGAGTAGGCGATAGGTTGGAGAGATGCACGTGGGGGAGCTGAGTTGGTCAAAGAAACGCCGGCCTAGCTGCGGGTGTGATGGGGCGAGCGAAGAGGGAGGGGAGGAAGAGGAGGAGAGAGGTGGCATGGTGGCACAGTAGCACGGCAGCAGGTTGGCACAAGAGTGAGACGGAGGGACCAACTCACATGCGGTGGCGTGTGACTATAACGAGGGGCAACTCACATGCGTGTAGCCCGTGACTATACGGAGGGGGTTATCAGCGGACCAGCTCACTTGAGTGTAGCTTGAGACTATAACGAGGGAAGGACAGACTCACATGCGTGTAGCCCGTGACAATACGGAGGGGGTTGTCAGCAGACCACTGAGGCATGGCGATGAGATCTTGAATGGAATTGACTCGCTCGAATATGCCGTATGATGGCACCTGGAGGGGGACAGGGAGAGGGCGAAGGGAAGAGGGGACAGGTGACAGGGGCAGGGCCGTTGATGATCCCGGCAGCAGCAGGACACAGAGGGACATGGCGATGAGGTCTTGAATGGAGTCGATCCGCTCGAATATGCCGTATGATGGCACCTGAATCCATACAACCATGAAATACATATACCCACAACATGTATATACATATTTACATATGTATGTGCTGATGCGATTCTGAAAATAATGAAGCAAACGAACATACGAGAGTAAACAAGCATGCCAACGGAGATTGGATGCGATCACATGTAACCTACTGAAATTTGCCACGTGGCACTCACGGCAATGCTGAGGTGGCACTTGCCGAAGCCAAGGGAGTCGTGCACGATGACAAGATTGGGATCGTCCTGGTGTGTGCGTGGAGGGGGAAAGGGGGAGGGGAGAGGGGAGAGTGGCGAGGGGAGAATGGAGAGGCGAGAGGGAGAGGGGAGAGGGGAGAGGGTAGAGGGTAGAGGGTAGAGAGGGGAGGGGGGAGAGGGGAGAGGCGAGAGGGGGGAGGCGAGCGGGGAGTGGGGAGAGGGGAGAGGAGAGAGGAGAGGGGAGAGGGGAGAGGAGAGAGGGGAGAGGGGAGATGGGAGAGGGGAGATGGAAGAGGGGTGAAGGGAGAGGGTAGAGGGAGGATGGCAGATGGATTGGGGGAGGGGGGGGCAGTGGGGGTCACGGGTTCATGGGGTCGTGTGGTCATCATGTAATGAGATGCCTTTTCGTTCTCAAGACTTTGGAACCCTGAAAATCAGTTGTGTCTTCCACTCTACCCATTTACAGCCCATAATCCCCGTCACCACACCTTGCCACGCTCATGCATGCCTGTCATACCACGCCACACCATGTCTTTAATCTCCATCGTACGCACCTTGCCATACTCCTTCACCATGTCGTAGCCCACGATCGTCATGTCCACGTCACCGCTCAGCAGCTTCCGCACGCAGTCCGACGCACGCTGAAACCACACCTCCAGGCCCTCGATCTGAGTGGAGGTTGGGACGAGGGGAAGGGGGGAACGTGAGAGAAGGTGGGTGAGGAGTAAGGGAAGGTCAAGGGCGGAAAGAGCCTCCTCACGAAGTCTGACTTGCGCTGAAACCACACCTCCAGGCCCTCGATCTGTTCCGGGGAAAGGGGGAGGGCGGGAGAGGGGGGGGAGGGGGAGGTGTGGCCGCGGGTGGGTGTGGGAGCGGGTGTGGGAGTGGGTGTGGGAAAAAAACGCACAATCCAAAGCCCAGAACCCTTGCTCCATAACGCACGCACATTGGTAGTACAGCGAGCACAAAGCGGTTCGCTTCAAACGCAGCATGCACGCACGCACGCGTCCAGCCCAGCTAGCACGCGCGCGCGCAGCTGTCAGTCTAGACTACCCCCGCACGCAAGCACGCACGCACGCACGCACCTCGGAGATCTCGGCGATGTATTGGCGAGGGTTCGGCTTTCGCACGGTCAGTTCGCACTCCTGCGACGAGCCGGCGAAAAAGGTGCGCGGGAAAAGGTGGTGGGGAGGAAACTTTATGGTCACGAGAGTAGGAGGATGTGCGCGCATGCATGGTTAGGGAGATGATACGATGAGATAGTATGAGTAAAAACGATGGGTACAAATGATACGAAGACTTCGTACGGAAGATACGATGATAAGTAGAGATGATAAGGAAACAGCTTCTAAGGGCGACCAGCGCGCCAGTTCGTACCTTCAGCAGCGCGAGAGTGTCTTCCGCCATGCGACCTTTACTCGGCAGTGCCAGTCGCACAATGTCGCGCTGGCGACTCCTCCCCGCTGACGACGCTGTCGCTTGCGACGCTGGGAAACGACGAACCACACAAGCAAGGGGTTGGGGGGTAGGGGGTCGGGGGGGGAAGGGGGGGACGATAGGGGAAGTGAGAGAAGAAGGGGGGGGGGGAGGGGGGGCGGTGTGAGAAGGCATTGACAAAGACGGGTTTATTTCTCTTTCTTTTTGTGAATCTTAATCCTCGGTGGTGTGTCTGGAGCTGGTTGGCGGGATGGAGCGCACAGCGTCGGCAAGATCCAAGTCAGAAGTTTAGGGTTGAACTTGAAAGCTGCGGGAACCCATTTAGGACTGGTAGAAGAAGTCACTAGGCTCTTATGGGGGAACGCGATTTTTAGCGAAGAAAATGCTCGCGAATGGGCTGCGTTCCTGATTGCAACTGAGTTACCGGATCGTGTAAAATGCCTGATGTGGCATTGTCAAACTAGGGGAAACCTAAACGAATCCACGGCGTCCTTTCGCTGAACAATACAGGGTTCTACAAAGGTCGACGAGGGAAACGGAGTTTACAAGGGGAGCTGGTAGTCGCTGCTGCTGCTGCTGCCGAAGCGCCAGCTGCAGCCTCGCAGCGCCATACAAGCCGTCCCTTAACATCGCGGCTCGGCGCAATGCGTACGACAACGGGAGCGCCTTTGATAGCTGAAGACCCTTTGATCGCCGGCGAGGCGGCGAGCATTGGTTGCGGGACAGCCCGTCTAAGGACGCAGTTCGCCATGCCGAGGTGCGACGAAAGGTCCACGTAAAACAGGTTATGCACCAAAGACACGCGACAGCGAGACGCTGAAGCCGGGAACCTCCCTAAGAAAGGGAATGTGATGGTAGGAGGTGGGGAGAGGATTGGTAACTAAGAAATAGAAAGGAAGGTCAGCGCATCAGAAGCAGGAAATTGAAGTCCTCAGGAACTTCCACCCTCGACTTCGCGAAAGATTATGATACGAAGAACAGCGACGTTCACGGTAACATTTGAGACGCTCCTCGTGCTTTCGTAAGGCGGTTTTGATGAGCACCTGCGAAAAGTGTACCAGTCGCCCAGTGATGCCATTGGACTGGGAGCAAGAAATCCGTGCAGCCAATTGGAGGGCGGAACAAACTCACGCATCGGTGGGTGGTATGTGGCCTAGCGGAAAGTTAGCGATTGGTTGAACTCCAAATTTGAGCTGGGCTGAAACGAATCTCCTCGGGAATATCCGTTTGCCTCGAAAATTCTGTTCCGCAAGGGAAAAACATTCACGCAATACTTAATGCTCCGTCAGATTACTGCAGACGAATCAGGTATAATCAAACGAGACTGTCAAAGACGAGTACGAATCTATAATTCTTTCAGTTCCCGCCATTTCAGCTATTTGGAACAAACCACCAAGCTCGGTCGGAGTTCCGTATCTTCTGACTGCGTCGCCTCCCGAACCATCGCCAGCCAAGTATGCCCCCTGCACTGGTCGTTCCGATCCATGCATCCGCCGATGGACTTCAGGTAGCCGTCCGATCAACGTGGCGCGTGGCGCACGGCGATTGGTCGTCCGTGTTCGACGTATCAGAAACACAGAGCGAAGATGTTAGACACGCGGAACGAGGCGACGGGGAGTGGAATGGACAGGAAGGCGGAGGGGGCGGCGGAATCTGCGGAACAGTGGAGTTAGAGCGAGAGGAAGGATCGTCGGGCTGCGTCTTGACACGTAGGCCTTCATTTGTGATAAATTGGTTTTTGTCGCACCCTCTCTCGGTATTGAAGCTCGTAGTTTCCGCGCCGCCCTTGGTTTTCTCCTCGACCCTCTCCGTCCAATCCCCTGCACCGCGTTCCTGCACGCTCCTCCCCGTTCCTCCCCGCTCGCCTTTTCCCCGTTATCTCTGAATCCTCCGCTTCCCCCTTTCCCCTATGTAACCCCTCCGCCCCCCGTTTCCCCCCCTCAGTTCCCCCTCCCTCCCCTTCCCCCTGTCTCCCCCGCCTCCCCCCTCCCCCCATCCTCTTACACCTTCCGCCAGTGCTCTTCCCCGCCCGCGCCGTCCGCCTGCACTCTCTCCACCTCATCACCTCGGCGCGCTTTGCTGAGCTGTACGCAGCTCATGCCACGTGGCAGGGCGGAAGTGGGCAGGGGGAGGGCGCACCCGGGGGGGAAGATCTGGGGGAGTATGTGTGCACTGTCAGGGGGGAACCGGGGGGGGCAATTGGAGGAGGAGGGGGAGGAGGCGGAGGAGAGAGAGGGGGAGCCGGAGGGGGGACGAGTGGGGGAATGAGAGGAGCAGGGGGAGGAGAAGGCATCAACCGTCCTCTCCACTCCCTCCTCTTGCAGGTCGCACCCCCCCAAGAAGCAGACGATTGCTCCCACAGCGACTGTGGCTCCGAAGCAGAAGCAGCTTCGTCATCAGGCTCGGCAACAGGCTCGGCAGCAGCAGCGGCAGGGGCATGTCTCACTGACGCATGGCTCTGCTCACTCTCTCTCAAGCTCCTAGGTCTCAGGGGAGGGTCTACAGTCACTATCCACTCCCTCCGCCTCTCACTCTCCCCTGGCCCCTTCCTTCCCTCCTCTCTGCCTCACTCCGCCCCTCCCGCTGCCGCTGCTTCTGCTCCTTCATCTGCTTCTGTTTCAGCTGCGGCTGCAGCTGCTGGTGCTGCTGCTGCTGCTGCTGCTGAAGAGCCAACAGCAGCAGCAGCTGCTGCGCCGAACCTCCTGCCGGGCCTGTCTCCGAACCTGTTGTCAATGCTGCCTCAAGAGGTGCTGGCTAAGCTGCCTCCGAACCTGCCTGCTGCTTTAGCAGGTGGCATGGGTGGCAGTGTTGGTGGTAACATGGGTGGTAACATGGGTGGTCACATGGGTGGTCACATGGGTGGTCACATGGGTGGCAACCTGGGTGGTAACCCGAGTGGTAACATGTCAGCATCGATGCTCCCTCTCCTCCTTGCATCCCTTGCGGCTCCCTCCAAAACCCTCCGCCCTCCCGCTTCATCTGCTCCCTCCCTTCCCTCCCTTCCTCCCAACACCACCCCGCACACTCCCCTCACTCCTCCTCTCCTCACTCCTCTGTCCGCCCTTCCTCCTAACCCTCCTCCCTCCCAAGACCTCCTCGCTCACTCGCCCCTCCTCCTCTCTCTCATGCATCGAGTGGAGCGATTGGAGAGGGTGTGTGCAAGGCTGGAGGCGCAGGTGACAGGTGGCATGTCGCGATTGGCCACACGGCTGGATAAGGTTGAATCCAGTGTTCGTGTGATGCAGACGACTCATGCCTCCCCCACTGCATCTGCTTTGGCAACTGCTGGCACTGCTGCTACAACTGGTGCTGATGCTACAACTGATGCTGATGCTACAACTGATGCTGATGCTACAACTGGTGCTGATGCTACAACTGGTGCTGATGCTACAGCTGCTGCTGATGCTACAGTTGCTGCTGATGCTGCAGCTGCAGCTTCTGCTGCTGCATCCACTCTGTTTGAGGCACCTCAAACGTCTCACGTGCGTGTGATGCAGACGTCTCATGCCCCCCCATTGCTTCTGCTTTGACTCCTGCTGCTGCTGATACAGCTGCTGCTGATGCGACAGCTGATGCTGATACATTTGCTGCTGATGCGACAGCCGATGCTGCTCCTTCCACTCGATTCGAGGAACCTCAAACTGCTGCTTCTGCGCCTGCACTCCCTGCTAGCGTTTCTGCTACAGCCGCCGCTGCGCCCACCAACACAGCCGCTGCTACAACCGCCGCTGCACCCACCACTAGAGCGGCTGCTACAACCGCTGCTGCACCCACCACGACAGCAGCTGCTACAGCAGCGAGCGAAGCAGCGGTTGCTCCAAGCACTCTCGCAGCCAGGAATTCCATGGGCGAGGTTGACGGGGCAAGGGAGGGTAAGGGGATGGAAGAGACGCGGAAGGAGGGGGAGGAAGGCACAGGGAGGGATGTAACGACCGAAGTGGTGACTGATGCTGGTGGTGGCAGTGGTGGCAGTGGTGGTGGTGATGATGGTGGTGGTGGTGGTGATGGTGGTGGTGGTGGTGATGGTGGTGGTGGTGGTGATGGTGGTGGTGGTGGTGATGGTGGTGGTGGTGGTGGTGATGGTGGTGGTGGTGGTGATGGTGGTGGTGACGAGGATTCTGCTGCTGCTGAGGCAGCAGCTGCAGAGGCAGTGAAGGCAATGGAAGCAGCAGCAGCTGCTACTGCTGTTGCCGAATCAGAAAGGCATGTAGCAAATGCGGAGGAAGCAGAAGCAGCAGCAGCAGCAGCAGCAGCAGATGCCAAGGTAGTCAAAAAGCAAGGGGTGGATGACTTCCTAAAAGAGATACTTAGCCGAATGGAGCGGCGGCGGCAAGCAGAATCTCTTAAAGAACCAGGGGCTGCTGTGGTGCAAGGGGGGGATGCTACCTTGATGGAAATTACGGAGAAACGTGGAGTGGGGTGGGATGAGAGCAGCAGTGGGAGGGAGAAGGGGAGAAGTGCAACGGGGAAAAGTGGGAATGCGAAGGAGGATGGGGGGTTTGGAGGGGAAGAGGGGAAAGAGGCTTTTGGGGTCCCTCTAAGAAATGGTGAGGCTGAGGACGAGGGCGAGGAGGAGGCTGAGGAAGTGGAGGAGGAAGACGGGGAAGCGGTGCCTGTGGTTCCTCTTAGGAATGGTGAGGCTGAGGAGGGGGGGAAGGAGGCTGAGCAAGTGGAGGAGGAGAGGGATGCGTTGGGAGCAGAGGAGGGGGGTGAGAAGAGCAGAGTGGGGAGTTGTGGGGATTTGCAAAGCTCATCTGAAGCAGAGATGAGACAAGGAGGGGAGGCTGTGGAGGAAGCAGGTGGTGAGATGGGGGGAGGTGGTGAGATGGGGGGAGAAGTAAGGGTGGGGGAAGGTCACTCGAGCAAGTTGCACTGCATTCTGGAAAAGCAGATAGAGAGTGGTGGGGGGTTGGCGGAGAGTGGTGGAGAGGTGTTATAGAAAGGAGGGGAGCTCGCAGAAAGACTAGCAGCAGAAACGGGATAAAAGGGGGTTGGTGAAAGAGGGGTTGGTGAAGGAGGGGGGTTTCGAGAAGAGAAGCTGCAAGGAGAAGGCATCAGTTATGGTTTGCAAGAGTAAAGTTCAGCGCAAGAGGACGCTCGCACCTGTACCCAAGAATCGTCGACACGTTACCGAAGGATCGGGCTAGACTCAAAACACGGGCTAGACTCAAAATGTGCCGAGTGTTGGACAGGCATGTGAAGATCGCTCAGTCTACATGGCGACGAATGTGCGAGGTGTTAGTTATAGAGTGTGGGACAGCAATGGTGTCATCTTCGAGTCTGTTCATGTGCACCCATGTCTACGGAATGTGACGATTAACATGTAAAGGTGAATGTCTCAGTGTTACACTCCACATGGATAAAATGGTTAGTGTTAAGTTACAAGTAGTAACTTACAACTCAACCTGCAACAAAGCGCAAGCTACCCTAACAATAGAATGGTGGCAATTTGGCCACCCAAATAAAAGGAATAATGTTCACATCCGCCTGCTAAACATAATAATGATGTCATGTCAGTCGCTCCACACCACCATGCTGGAGCCACAATGGAGGCACAGACAGCGGGCTTAATGGACCCATCATGGGCCCTGCATGCCCTTCATGCGCTTTATTCAACGCCAGCAACTGCTCTCCCTCCACCGGTCGTTGTTATTGGTGTTGCCACTGCCAAGCTGGGTGAAGCAAGGGACTTATGAGTCACCTCAAAAGCCACCTAGCAAACCTAGCAACTGTTCTCCACTGGTCGTCGTTACTGCTGTTGCCAATGCCAAGCCGGGTGAAGCAGAAGATGGTTGTTAGTTCATGTTAAGCACCTGCCACGCCATGGCCGTGTGAAAACTAGATTTGGTGCCATCCGTGCTGCACGTGCAGCTTGTGCTGCCCATGCTGCTTGTCCTGCCCGTGCTGCAGATGCAACTGCAGATACCAGACCCACCCCAACCACTCCCCCCACCCCTCCCCTTCCCCACAGGCATTCCCCCCTCACTCGCCAACCCCTGTTGGCACCCTCTCTCCCTGCTACTGCTGCTGCTGCTGCTGCTGCTGCTGCTGCTGCTGCTTGTGAGAATCCTCAGACGAGACTCCAACAATACAGTTGCACCACACCAGTCCATCACGACTGCTTGCTGCTGCTCCCACCTGTCCCTCGACTATTCCCACCGCACCCTCTATAGGCTGACTCGCTATAAGGACAGTATTTAATCCTGGGAGCTGTCAATATCGTCAATGTTGTCGAGATTGATCAGCACCGGTGAGGATGGACGCACAGCACGGGAAAATCGAAAATCGGTCCGAAAATCGGTCTCCGGATTTACTCCTGGGAGCTGTCAATGTCGTCAATGTCATCCAAATTGATCACCACTGGTGAGGACGGACGCACGGGACGGGAAGCCGGAGCTATAGGCGAAGAGAAAGTTGCAGGGAAAGCCGACGCCACTAGGGGTGACGCTGGCTTGAGTGCAGGTGGGGGATCCCGAACGTCAGGTGAAAAGTCAAGTGATTTTGGGAGGGTAAAGGCATGATCCAACTCCATCAGGTCAATCGAGTTCACTGCTGCAGCTGGTGTAAACCCTCCTCCTCCGGCTGCTGCTGCTGCTGGTTTTCCTGGTGCCATCACATTGGCTCCATTCCTCTCACACCAGGTGTCCGTGTCAACACATGTTTGACCACCAGCAGCACACACACCCTCACTGCCAGGAATTCTCATAACCGGCTTAACAATTGGTGCACTGTGGTTTGCAGGCTTTAAGTGCGGTGCAGTGCGTTTCACCATTGTTGATAGGTGACGACCCACTGCTGGCTTCAACTGTGGCTCTCCCACGCCTCTTTGCGATGATACTGCTGCTGCTGCTGCTGTTGCAGGGACAGGAACAGGGGCAGGAGCAGGAGCAGGAGCAGGAACAGGAGAGAAAGTGGCAGGAGCAGCAGGGGCAGAAGAAGAAGCAGCGGCTGCAACGGAGAAACAACCGGTAAAAGCTCCAGCAGCGGTGGTGGCTGGAGAACTTAGCTCACAATGCTCCTGCTGCTGCCCAGGAGGTTGATCGGTGAACCGCCTTCGTGGCCGTGGAACACAGATCCCTTTGACCTCCTCCCTTTGATCAGCGTTGACCCTCTTTCCTTGACCCGCGTTGACTCCTTCCCAGTCAGCAGCACCCGCCCACACCCCGTGACCAGCATACACCGCACCTGGACTCCCACGGGCAGAGAAGCCTGGGCTCGCAGCAGCCAGAGTGAATTCAGTGGATGGTTGGCGAGAGATAGGGGGGCATTGAGTAGGAGCAGGAGCAGGAGCAGCAGGAGCAGGGGGAGGAAGAGGAGGAGGGCGACCAGGAGGAGGAGGAGCACGCGCAGGACGAGGCGGGGGAGCGGGAGCACGAGCACGAGCTGGAGCGGAAGCAGGAGTAGTAACAGGAACATGACCCGGAGGAAGGACAGGACGAGCAGCAGCAGCAGCAGCAGCGGCAGCAGCAGCAGCAGCAGCAGCAGCAGCAGCAGCAGCAGCAACAGCAGCAGCAGCAGCAGCAGCAGCAGCAGCAGCAGCAGCAGCAGCAGCAGCAGCAGCAGCAGCAGCAGCAGCAGCAGCAGCAGGAGAAGGAACACGATCACGAGCACGAGCAGAAGCAGCAGCACGATCAGCAGGAGCAGCAGGAGAAAAAGCAGGAGCAGAAGCAGGAGCAGGAGCAGGGGCAGGGGCAGGAGCACGAGCAAGAACACGAGCAAGAGCACGAGCGCGAGCATGAGCGCGGGTACGAGCGCGCCTATCAGCACGAGCGCGTCTACGAGCACGAGCACGAGTACGAGCAGGATGAGGAGGAGGAGGATGAGAAGGTGGAGGAGGAGGAGGAGGAGGAGGAGGAGGAGGAGGAGGAGGAGGAGGAGGAGGAGGAGGAGGAGGAGGAGGAGGAGGAGGAGGAGGAGGAGGAGGAGGAGGAGGAGGAGGAGGAGGAGCGGGAGCGGGAGCGGGAGCGGGAGCGGGAGCGGGAGCGGGAGCTCCAAGGGCAGCAGCGACGGCAGCAGCAGCAGCAGCAGCGGCGGCAAGGGCTGGGACATGATTAGTTGCACTGTCAGTTGCACGACGAGGGGCAGCAACACCAGCAGCAGTGGCAAAGTTACTGGATACACTCTGAGGCAAGGAGATGTCAGAAACAGTGGGAGTAGCAGCAGAAGAACCTGCTGCATTAGTAGGGATGGGGGTCCGAGCTGCAGTAGCAACAGCAACAGCAGAAGCAGCAGCAGCAGCGGTGGTGGCAGCAGCAGCAGCAGCAGGGGTAGGGGTGGTGGCGGCAGCAGCAGCAGCAGCAGTAGTTGCAGTGTTCCGAGTCACACCAACAGGACAGGAGGTATGAGGAGCAGGAAGAGCAGCCACGGCAGTTGCAGTGTCAGACGAGGGAGCAGAAAGACAAGAAGCAGCAGCAGCAGCAGTAGCAGCAGCAGCAGCACCACCACCACCACCAACAGCACCAGCAGCAGCAGCAGCACCACCAACAGCAGCAGCAGCAGTAGCACCACCACCACCAACAGAATCAGCAGCAGCACCACCGCTAACAGCACCAGCAGCAGCACCACCACTAACAGCACCAGCAGCAACACCACCAACAGCAGCAGTAGCACCAGCAACACCACCACCACCAACAGCACCACCACCAGCAGCAGCAGGGACATTGTTACGAGTCACACGAAGAGGACAGGGAGCATGGGGAGGTGCGGCAGCAGTGCCAGCAGCAGCAACACCAGCAGCAGCAACACCAGCAGCAGCAACACCAGCAGCAGCAACACCAGCAGCAGCAACACCAGCAGCAGCAACACCAGCAGCAGCAACACCAGCAGCAGCAACACCAGCAGCAGCAGCAGCAGCAGCAGCAGCAGGGACATTGTTACGAGTCACACGAATACGTGCGGGATCATGCGGAGCAGCAGCAGCAGCAGGAGCAGCACCAGAAGCAGCAGCCAGGACATTCTTACGAGTTACACCAAGACGAGAGGGACCACGAGGGGCTGGTGCACCAGCAGCACCAGCAGCACCAGCAGCACCAGCAGCATCAGCAGCAGCAGCAGCTGTTGCAGTGTCACGCGTTACACCAGGAGGAGTGGCGGCCGGGACACGAGAAGCAGGTTTTGCAGGAGAGGAGGCGGCAAGAACCGCGTCCGCAGAGAGGAACCACTCGTGACCACACGTTGCACACTCCAACTGTGCGGAGGAAGGGAAGGGGGGGTGGGAGGAGGGGGGGATAGCGGCAGGGGGAAATAAAGTTATCAAAGAAAGTGGCAGCAGCGACCAAACTCTCATGACAGAACAATATGTCTTCCGCATGCTGTGGGCGTGGAAGCAAGGGAGAAGGCAGGGGCGGACTCACTTGTACTGCTGCCTCTTGGGGCTGCTGACGATATCCAAAACCTTCACCTGCTGGTTCCCCCACGCGACCACATCCCCACCCACTGCACTTTGAAACGTGTCAACACTCACTCGCCGTCCTCACCTTGTACTGCTGCCCCTTGGGGCTGTTGAGGATATCCAGAATCTTCACCTGCCGATCCCCCCGCAAGCTGCACTGGGAGCAGCGTATTCCCACCCACTGCACACACTCGCTGCGCCTGGGCCTGGCAACAGGCGGAGCAATCAGTGCCTTCTCCCGCCTTGTCAGACCGTCCTGAGAAAGAAGGAAGGAGGAGAGGGGGACGGGTTGAGAGGGTGGTGTTGGGAGGTGGGCCGGTGGAGCGTGGAGTGGGGAGGGAGGGGAAAAAAGAGTAAGAAAGAAACGCATTTTAAGTGATGACATTACTGAAAGTCGTCCAGTGAAATAGTGACCGAACAGATGATGGCCGAGGGAAGCGGGACAAGGAAAAACATTACGTTGACCTTTTCTAGTGACATGTAAAGCAAGGCTGATAGCGAGAGATTTTTTTTTTTTTTAATGGCACCTAAAGAACAGATGCTGGCTGAGGGAAGTGGGACGAAGAAAGTCATTACCTTGAGCTCCTCTGGTGACATGGAGAGCACGTCTGATGGCGAGAGCTCTCCCAGAACGAAGCGACGCGAGAGGCAGTTGTTGCTCTGCAGGAGTGCATAGATAAAGGTGGCAGATGCAAGGCGTGTGTTTGTAGATGACATGGAAACAATGCCATGTGGAGGAAGCACGACGCCATCATGCAGTGCACAGCTTGAAAGAAAGCTAGGAGATGAAACCAGCAGAAGAGGAACAGAAGGCCACAGTCTAGACTCAGCTCGAAAATCGCTCGCACGAACCAAAGCTTGGAAACTTTCTTGGAGTTTTTCCCAGCAGTTTAATAGACCTTTTCAAAACTACTCACCTTGAAATTTGCTCGCACGGATCTGAGCTTGACAGTATACCGGGACCCCACGCCATCCCCCAGCTTCTCATTCGCGAGCTCCTCCAGATCAGCCACCGCTCTCGCCGCCTTCATCTCCCACTCGCGCTGCTTCTCGTTTATATATGACTCTGGTGCAGCAGCAGCAGAGGCACTGTGCGTGGGAACTGCAGCTGCAGAAGAATCGACTATCGGAATTGCAGCTGCAGAGGAACTGACTGCGGGAACTGCAGCAGCAGCAGAGGATCCGCCAGCAGCAGTGGAGGAGGCGTTTGCAGGAAAGGAAGCAGCGACAGAGGCCCTAGGTGAGGCACATGGGGAGGAGGAGGTTGTGGAGAGAAGCGCGGAGAGCAGCAACTCTAGCATCTGGTCCCGCTTGCGGATGCCGGTGCAGCAGCCAGCACGCTCCAGGATCTCTGCTGCTGTAGAGCTCCGAGACTCCGACCCTGCTGCTGCTCCTTGTGCTACTCCTGGTGCTGCTCCTCCTGTTGCCCCTGGTGCTGCTCCTGGTGCTGCTCCTGCTGCAGACTTGCGGCTACTATTCCCAGCAACGGATGGACCAGAACCAGCAGCAGGAGCATGGGAGGTATCACCATTTGTGCCAGCCGCAGCAGAAGCAGCAGCACTACTATGAGGTGCACTGCTCGACGCCATACACCGTTTTCCACTGTGTGATCTAGCAAGAGCAGCAGGGGCATGAGAGGTATCACCATTTGTGCCAGCCGCCGCAGAAGCAGCAGCACTACTACGAGGTGCATTGCTTGATGCCATACACCGTTTTCCACTGTGAGATCTAGCAAGAGCCCTCCCTCCCACCTGTGACTTCTCTCGCTCCATCTCCCCGCATAGCTTCTCTCCACCCTTTTCTCTATCCCTCTCTGGACCCTTTTCTCCCTTTCTTTCGCTTTCCCTCTCATTCGCTTTTCTCCCCTGCGTGCCATACGCTTTCTTTCCGACATTCTCTGCTCTTTCAGCAAATGGAGAGCGACCAAGGGCAACAGCACCATTCCTCCCGTCATCCTTCCCTCCCCTCCCCTCCCCACCTCTCCCAAACGACGCCGATCTCTTCACTGCTCCCCTTTCCGCTGCCTCTCCACGCACTTCCTCCACCGACTCCATATTATGCTGCTTCGTGGTTGCTGCACCCGCTCCACATACTTCATCCAGCCCTTCATCCCTGCTTCGTCGGTTCCACAAGTAATCTCCTGGATAAACACCATGTGTATTTCGTAGCCTGCTATTGTCTTCGTCCAGCTCTCCACCACCGATATCCTCTTCACTCTCCTGCACCTCCTGTTCCTCCTCCTCATCATCACTTACCACTCGCTGCTTCATCTTCCTCAAACGCTTAAAACATATACCGGAATCATCCTTCACTTTTGCTGGGTTAGCTTTCCTGACAGCCTCTGGATGATGCGCGGAAACAGCCGGGTCACGCTGCAACGGATTCAAGTGCATGGCGACTTTCCTTCTCTTCGCCTTCTCGTTGTTGACCCTCGCTCCTATTGGAACATCATCATCTGAAGACTCGATATCAGCATCCCGCCTCCTTTTTGCCGAATGACACATCCTTGCATGAAGCGGCTCATTATCACTTCTCTCATCTTCAGATGCCGACCCCTCCCCAGGCCCTTCCTCCCTGACACGCTTACTCCGTCTCAAATCCGTCAACTTGACAGAATCGTCTTTCTGCACCTTCTTCAGCCTGATTCTGGTTTCCTGCAGTGCTGCTTCAACCTCCTTCCATTCTCCCCGTTCCATTCTACAGCGGTCATCAACGGCCACGATCCGTCCATCCATATGGCGATAGACAAAGTGCACCACAAATCCCCCCGCTTCTTCCTCTTTAGGAAACCCCTTGGCTCGTGGAAGCATATGAATGGTGCATTTTCCGGCAATCGCTTCAGCGTCGAACGGATCCGTGTGAAACGAGTAGAAGAGGAGCCGACGGTCCGCGAGCTCCTGTTCGTTGTAGGGAAGTGATGAGCAAGAGGATTTGCTGAAACCATGAAACTTCCGCCTGTCATCCGAAATCTCGTGAACGGAGTACATCCACTGGCCGACGACTTCTACTGGAGCCAGAGCACCAGCTCTGACTTGCTGGCGTATTTCCTGCAGGATATCATGAAGCCGGTTTCAGAATTTTGTATGAAAAATCAATGGTACGAAAGAAACCACTAAACTTCTAATTAATATACAATGACACGGCTGGCGATTGAAACTAGCGAAGCTCTTACCCGAATGATGCAAATAAAAGGCACAGGTTCGTCGTTGATAACTGGCTCTTCCTGGCTGTCGTTATCCGTCTTGCTTAAGCTCTCATCAGACCACACCAAGACAGGGTCTCCCTGAAAAACAACCGAAGACAGCAGGATGGCAAGAAATAACCGATTAAACATATTATTTAAAGGTTCAGACAAGCTTGTATGATCATACCGCATGCAACGGTATTCTAAACCTTTCATGAAAAACGCGAGCAGCGGGTTAGAATGCGGAGAATAAGCGCCTTGCTGTGTTTTGATAAAACAACGAATGTTAAGGACGCAACCTGGGATACCATCAGTCAACGGGTGTAACCTAAGCTGACATAGCTGCACTTATAGACTACGATAATGTAAGCTTACGAGCTTGTATATGTTGCCTTGCCATTTGAGCGCTCTGTACAGCAAATACTCCTTTTTTCCCTCCCGCTCCTTTCGTATCGGCTTCCCTAAAGCTTCGGCACACTCGTCGACATCCATAGCAGCTAAAAACTGGATGTAACCAAGCGACTAAATACACCAGCTACTCTACCTAATGCAAGATTTCAAAAAACTGGACAAGAACGCGGGGGAGCAAAGAATCATCGGCAAAAAACGTCGCACTGAAATGGCACGCAGTGCCGCTGAATGCTAAATTCTGAGGTAATGGTCTGCTGAGGAAAAGGCGTCTGGAGGAGAAAGAACGAGCTTTTCTTCATCCAGCTCCGCACACACCCTACACGTGTTGGGCTCATCCTTCCTCCCGACAACAGCCATTCTTGTACTGTTCTGTACTCCCAGACAGATTTCCTGGCTAGAGGGTACGGCACCTTGCTCTGTCTCTCCCTGAACACGCTCACGGTTCGGACTCTCCGGTCTGTTCTTCTAACGGAAGATCATTACGGCAAAGTACTGTACCGCACCGCGTCACAAGTCTTCGCGCCGAAGCGAACCCTTTCGGAAGTGGCTGTGCTCTGCGGATGTCAGTGTGCCTGGGGCGTTCGGGACAATTCGAGGGGAAATTCCGTCCACCAATCACAGATCACCGCGGCTCAAACCTTCAAAGCCCTGAACATATCAATAACTGAAATACTACAGCTACAATTACACGACATTAATTTGTTTACACCTACATTTGAACTTACGGTACAAGACCTAGTTACCTGCAGGTCTCATTCATATGCTGGAATTTTGCAAGGCCTCCTGTGCCCAAGAAGGCAATGCACCATGCAGCACAACAAGCTCCCCAGTGCTTGGATGTGGGAACTCTAAGTGCTCCGCATGCAAAAGATGATGTGACCAAACTCTTCCCTCCATAGGCCACTCAGATGGTCCTCCGTACCTGACATCCCCCACCAGGGGAAACCCCGCAAACTGGCAGTGTAGACGAATCTGGTGGGAGCGTCCTGTGTGGGGGAAGGCCCGGACCAGCACAGCATCTGAGGCACAAGACCCTCGAGCTGTTAGCTCGTTTGCTGCATTGGCCAGGCAAAACTCGGCCTTATTTAGCACTGCCAGGACCACCAGTTTGGTCCGCATGTCCCTCACCCTTGACCCACCAGGAAGCTTCCTCCCAATATCCTTCACATCATACACGCGCCATAGCCCATGCCGTGATCTGCCATGACCAGTTTCCAAGACTATCTCATCGCCCGCCTTCAAATAACAAGTCTCGCAAGGCGCAGAGTCAAAAGCCGATGCAGAGGTTAAGACAGGGTCAGAAGCAGAGGCAGATGCAGAGGAAGAGGTAGTGGCAGAAGCAGAGGCAGAAGCAGAAGGAGAACGGGACGCACATACAGCACCAACAATCTCTTCATCACAGCGAGTATCCCCACTGGGTGCAACAGCAGAAGCTTCTGACAGAGCACAAAGAGCCAAGTACGACTTGCTGACGTCCCTCCTCTCAAACGCCTTCCCTAGCTTGGCAGCTGACTTTGCGGTCTTGGCCAGCAGCAGCACGCCACTGGTGTCGCGATCCAATCTGTGCACCAGAAACGGGGTGGAAGCGGGTAACCTTGTAGGCGACAACGCCGTGCGACAGCCAGCTGCAGCTGGCGTACTGCTGGTGGAACTCAAACCCTTTATTCCTCCTGCTGCTACGTTCTCCGCGCCCAATGCCGTCTTCCCATCCACAGGACGTGTTCTCTGTTCTGGAAGCTCTCTGACCACAGGTACATCTGATGGCATTTGTGACTCGTCCGCGCTTTCTTTACTTGGCCGTTTGGCGTCTGTAGCTCGGTCTCGCATGATCAGCATGGCACCCACGGCTGATAGGATGTGTTCGCTGTATACTCCTGGCGGTTTCTGCACGGCAATCAGCCAGTCGTCTTCCAACAGAATCATATCTGAGTCTATTGAAATGCCGGCCGCTGCTGCTGCCTCGGCGGCTTGAGCTCGTTGGGTCTCGATCGAGGAGGATTCTGGAGGAGGAAGCGGGGTCACAGGAGTTGGAAACGAGGAAGCTAATGTCGGGGATGGTTCCACCGCTGGATACGCTTGTGCATTCTTGGATTCTGCGATGGCTCGTGACCCTCCTGAAGGATCTCGAACACTCTCTGGAGCATGACCAGACGGAGCTGATGCGAGAAGGTGAGAGGCTGACGCGGATGCGCAGCAGCTGTTCGTACGAATCGGCTGGTCAATTTGGAAAAGCTTCTCAGGCGTCATGCTCGTAATGAGTACGCTAAATCGAAGCAGTACTAAGTCCGACTGAAGCTGAAATGCACGCGGAAGAAAGTCGAGGGACGATGCCAAACGGTTCGGTCGCGTCTCGTTGTGGACCGCCCTCAATCGTGCCAACTGGTCAAGAACCTGTCGTCGTCGTCCGAAAACCAGCATGCTACCCCAAGAAATGCTCGATGGTGCGAGAATCGCAACAGGGGGAAAGAGTGCGTTGTGACATACTGCGGCTTTTTTGGAAGAGTGATTGTGAGGGAGCAGCTAAGCATCGTAGTTTGTATTTGCATGTGGACCATACTGGGTTCAACAAAGAAGAGTACGAACTGTATTGTAACACTGAAGTGCAGCTTCGCGAATTTCAGGTAGTAGAATCAGTCCACAATGCACGACTTCCTTGGCGTAAGGCAGCCCTGTGCATCGACGGCTTTTATGCAGCTAACAAACCTTTTGAAGGCTGAGATTCCTCTTGAGCCGACAGAAAGGACAAAAACGACGAGTGGGCTAGTTGACTTGCGAGCAACAGCGAAGCAGGCGGTTCTGCTTTCGGTTTCGTGTTTGCTCCTCCAGGCGGTCTCTGTTTCCATTTGGCTTGGCTTGGCTTGGCTCAGTCAGCAGCAGCTCAGCGCCAGAAGGCTCCACCCCACCCAGCTCCGTTCAACCCTGACGGTTTCGGTTGGCCTAGCTGACGAACCTTGGGATTGACATGCTCGAGCAGGTTTGCGGGGTGTAGGAGGAGCTGATATTCTCAAAATGATCTCCCAACCCATCTAGAATGTAAATGAACCGCTCTGACACGCAAAACAACTCATCTAGCCACCGAAAGTGCACTCCTGCACACCTTGAGAAGTCCAGCACCAAGCAATTCATCAACTGGTGACTGCATAGTAGCTTTGGAAGGTTGATTTGTTTGGCATGGCGATAGTAGCTTCTGTTTTAAGTAACTTTCGTAGGAATGAGAGTCAAGGGACCAAGGGACAAAGTGAAACCGACGTGTCGGAAAAGTGAGAGGAATGGAGTAGGCGGTGATTGCTCAGTGACACTTCATCTCTGCGTCGATTAAACATCATACTCTGACTAATCGTTAGTTTAGAAGCCAAGCCTGGACTTTTCTAGTTTTTTTTAAGAATGTCCTCAACGTGACAGTAACGTGTCGATTTACCATTTGGCAGCAGCCTGTCCTTCAGTATACATCCTAGCAGAAAGCATCGTATCTTATCATCTCGAGGTGTTTTTGCCGTCCTCTGCCGTCTGAAGAATTTGTCACCTACCTAGTTCATGTGAAATCGCTTCGGTCGACACGACACGCATCATGTCGCGAAACGCCATGACCATACAGCTACCACAGCATCCTTCTCGTTACAGACGGTCTCGATACCTGTTGCCTCTCCTCTGCTGCTGCTCCCTCCTCATCCTCGACTCAATCTCGTCTACCAATGCCGTCCTTACCTCGTCAATGGATCTCCAGCAGCAGCAACAGCAGCAGAAGCAGGACCAAGAACAGCAGCAGCAACAGAGTGTACCCTCACAAACATCAGTACAACATGAACCGCCACTGGAGCCTTTGGAGCCATTGAAAACAATAGAGCCGTTAACTTCAATCTCTCAGCACCAAGTCTTAAGGAAACAGGCCCGCGCTTTGCGAGAGAAGCTGGACGCGCAGAGGTTGAGACGGAAATCGTCAAGGGTCTCTGCTCGGCCGACCTTGAGTCACCTCAAGGTTCGTCTTTTCCCGCCAATAGGGTCGTCTCGCCGCCCTCTTGGTAGAGGATGTCTGCATATTGTGCACCCTGACGTCTCAAGAATAGGTTACGCTAATGGTCCAGCCGTGTTCCTTGTATTTTCTAGACTTGAATCCCTTTTCAAAACCGCAACATTTCCCCTCCTCCCCTTCGTCTTGATGCTTCCACGTCAGCAGGGTCTCCACGACAGAATCCAGAGCGACGATTGGTGCAGAGGGCTCTCAGACGGCCTTCACGCAGACCCCCTATCCAACCCTTCGTACAGGTGAGTCGACGTTTCAGACGCTTCAGACTTTTCCATCCCCTTCCAGTGAGAGGGCAATTCAAAACCAACAATATAAAGCCTGACGTTGGTTTCCGCAATGTCTACTTTCTCACGACTTTTTTTTTTGTTCTTCCCCGCTCCTCGCCTTCCCAACCATCCGCTCCGCTTCTCATCCTCTCCCTCCTCTCTCCTCCTGCCCGTTTCTCCTCGCTCCCACTCACCCCCGTCGTGTGCCGCCGCCTCCCAGTGTATACTTCCGCTGCTCCAGCCAGGCTCTCGCCGCTCTCCACCGGTGTCCACCGCACACGCTGTTCCTGGAGGCAGGCCTGGGGAAAAGCAGCGAGGAGCAGGAAGAAGGGAGCGAGGGCGCGTGCATCCTAGAGGAGGAGTTCCTGCAGAATGCACACCTGATGAAACTCGGCGCGAGCTCCCCTGTGAACGGCGAGGCGGGTTTCCGTGTCGAGGGCCAGGGTGACGCAGGCTCCTCGTATCCGTCTGGCGGCCACAGGGGGGTTTCGTTGAGGGAGGTGGCAGGTGTGAGCCGGGCAGTGGGTTTGCTCAAAGCGGAGGGGACAGCAGCAACTAGGGTGGGAGGGGCAGGAGAGGCAGGAGAGGCAGGAGAAGCAGGAGAAGCAGGAGAGGCAGGAGGAGCAAGGGAGGCAGGAGGGGTGGTAGGAACGGCAACGAGGAGTCAGCTTGAGGTGAACCAACAGGCAGGAGGAAGCGGCGTTTCATCGCAGCCCTCAGCTGCCCCGCCGGACCTGCAAGCCCTGGCGGAGCTGAACGCGCTGCTGGCCTTCAAGGCTTCCGTCATCGTCTTCAATGACCTCCTCGCCTCATGGACCGTTCCCCGCTCCGCCTTCTCCTCCTCCTCCTCCGCCTCCTCCGCTTCCGCCCCCGCCTCCTCTGCCTTGCCCGCCCCTTCCACCGCCTCCTCCCCCGCCCCCCCCCGCCTCTCCCGACCCTTACAGCTTTCTCTGCGCCTGGCGCTTCGTCACCTGCTCCGCCGCCCGCCCTGGTGTGCCCGGTGGGGCACGTAGGGTGGTGGGGCTGAGTATGACCTGGTTCGGCCCGGACCTGGACCAGAGGCCCGTGCTGATGCTCACCCGCAGGTCCGTGCTGGAGGGGACCTTGGGAGGTGCCGGAGCGGGGAGTGACGAGGGGAGCACCAGTGACGTGAGCCGTAGCAGCAGCAACAGCAGCAGCGTCAGCAGCAGCGGCGGCGGCAGCAGCAGCAGCAGCCCTGATCTTCAGATTTCCCCCACTCTCCCCACCCCCCCCAGTTTCCCCAGTCTCCCTCTCATCCCCCTGCAGTTCTCCGCCCTCACGGCCCTCACCAACCTCTCTCTCTCCAGCAATCGCGACTACCGAGAGATGGCTGGGCTCATGGGCGCCTTCCCCTCCCACCTCGCCGCGTGCTCCTCCCTCCAGGTTCTCTCCCTCACAGGCCACAGGCTCCTCGGTCCCCTCCCAGACTCAATCTCTCTCTTCTCCTCCCTCAGGCACTTACAGCTTACGTATAATTTAATGTCTGGGCAGTTACCTACTGCCCTGGCTTCGCTTTCCCGCCTCACGAATCTTAATTTGGAGGCCAACAATTTCTCGGGGGAAATTCCCCCACAGATATCCCGGCTTGCAAAAACGCTCGTGAATTTTAATCTCGGGCAAAACTCCCTATCGGGCAGCTTACCAGCCGAGCTCGGGCAGCTGACAAACCTCGGTAACGGCCCGTTCGTCGACCCATACCCGGGCCTCTACCTTCACCGAAACTTACTTTCCGGCCCACTGCCCGAATCCCTCTCTTCCCTCTCGTCTCTCCAAGCCCTAGACCTCTCTTTCAACAGCCTATCCGGCTCAATCCCTCAGGCAGGTTCCTTCCTCACGTCCTTCAACAATCTTGTCCTCCTGTCGCTATCCCACAACCAGCTCTCCGGCCCCCTGCCGCTGCAGAAGGGCTGTGGCATGTCCTTGTATCTGCTTCAGCTCGGTTCAAACCGGTTCACTGGTGGTCTCCCTGCTGACCTCTCGTCCTGCTACTTGCTTTACTCGCTCGACGTGTCCGGGAATTTACTTTCAGGGCAGCTGTCGCCGGGTTTCTTCACTTCCCTGGCAGGGACGTCGGTGGGGGAGATTTACCTTATGAACAATAGCTTCGAGGGTAATTTACCCGTGGAAATTGGTGATGTTGTAACGCTGGGCGTGCTGGATGCCAGCAGCAACCGGCTTTCCGGGAAGCTTCCGGAGCTCAAATCCTGCCCGTCAATGATTTACCTGGCGAACAATTCCTTCTCGGGCAGGATTCCGGCAGGGTTTATCTGCCCGTCCTTGACAGCCCTAGACCTGAGCAACAACTCTTTGTCCGGGGACCTGCCCGAAATCCTTCTGGGTAGTGCTAGGCCATCCAAACAAATCCCACCACCATCGGCATCGGCAGCAGCAGCATCAACACTATCAGCAGTCGCAGCAGCAGCAGGAGGAGCAGGAGCAGGAGCAGCAGCAGCAGCAGTTGATACAGCACCACCACCGCAACAGAAGGCACCAGCCTTCCAGTACCTTTCTCTGAGTCTCAACCGTCTCACCGGCCCTCTTCCCTACCTAGGCAAGTGCTCCTCCCTCACCACCCTCCTCCTCGATTCCAACCAATTCTCCGGCCCCCTCCTCCTCTCTTCCCTCTCTCCCTGCCCTAGACTCCAATCCTTCAACGTCTCCCACAACTCCCTTACAGGCACCCTCGATACTATCACCTCGCAGCTTCGCCCCTCCCCCATTTTCACCCTCGGCCTCGCCGGAAACCTCCTGGACGGTCCCGTTCCGGCCGCCATCGGAAATCTGACGTCAGCACGGGCTATTGATGTATCAGACAATCGCCTCTCAGGTTCCCTCCCACCGACACTTAGCCAGCTGCAGGTGCTCCGTTCGCTAAGTGTCAGCGGGAATAATCTTTCCTCTACCCTCCCAGCAGAACTCAGCGCTCTTTCCCTTCTCACCTCTCTGGACGTGAGCAGGAACGATTTCTCGGGCCCGATTCCCCCGCAACTAGCCCCTCCGTTCCTCCCCCGCCTCCTCTCCTTAAACCTCTCTCATAACCACTTCTTCGGCGCTATTCCCTACGGTTTCTCCAACACTAATACCTCCGCCACAGCCCTCGATTTCTCCTACAACAATCTCTTAGGTTCAATTCCTTTTAACACCACCGGTACCAGCCCCACTGGCACGTTTCTCTCTGCATCCGCGTTACAAGGCAACCCCGGACTCTGCGGGGGCTTCGGGTACCTCGCCTGCCCCACGCCGCCCTACGAGAGCACAGGGGGGGTCTCCCTCGGAGCGATCGCAGGGATCGCGGTGGGCTGTGCGGCGTTTGTGGCGGCGCTGCTGGTGCTGCTGGTGCTGCTGTGGCTGTGGCTGTTTGCGCGGCGCAGAGGGCCGAGTCTGGACGGAGGCACGATGCTGGTGTTTGAGAAGCTGGGCTTTAAGCTCACGGTGACTGATGTGGTGGATGCGACTGAAGACTTTAGCAACAAGTTCCTGCTGGGACGAGGAGGCTTTGGCTCCGTCTATAGGTGAGAACCGACCGCCTGGTTGCAAGCGGTAGTGAGCACTGAGTTGTAACAAGTGGTTACACATGGTGACGGCAATGCTGGTGTTTGAGAAGCTGGGCTTAAAGCTGAAAGTGACCGATGTGGTGGGTGCGACTGAAGACGTCAGTAACAAATTCCTGCTGGGACGAGGAGGCTTTGGCTCCGTGTATAGGTGATAACTGCCTGGTTGTGAGTTATTGAGAGGTAACGAGCGGTAAGAAGCGGTTACTCATGGTAGCGAGTGGCACGGTGCTGATGTTTAAAAAGCTGGGCTTTAATCTCACGGTGACAGATGTTGTCGGTGCGACTGAAGACTTCGGTAACAAGTTCCTACTGGGACGAGGAGGCTTTGGTTCTGTTTACAGGTAAGAACTGGCTGGTTGCAAGCGGTAACGAGTGGTAACATGCGGTGACAGGTATGGTGACAGGTGCAGTGACAGGTACAGTGACATGGTGACAGTGGTTACAGGTACGGTGTCAGTCAGGTATGGTGACGACCACACTGTCCGTTAGAGGCCTAGTATCCATCCCAATCTCTTTTCAATCACCCCTGCCCTAACCCACACCCCTGTCCATCCCATCACTGATCCATCCCTGCCCCTGTCCCTGCCGCTGCCTCATCCCCCATCCCCCATCCCCATCCCCATCCTTCCTCCCCCAGAGCCACACTGCAGGACGGCAGGGAAGTGGCCATAAAGCGACTGGCACTAGGCAGCAGCCAGGGGCAGCGGGAGTTTGAAGCCGAAATGAACACCCTCGGCAACGTGCGGCACCGCAACTTAGTAGTCCTAGTCGCCGCATACCTCTCCCCGCCGCCCGCCCAAGAGCGCCTCCTAATCTACGACCTCCTTCCGGGCGGCTCACTGGACCACGTCTTAGCGCGCGAAATGGGCAAAGACTCGCCGATGCGACGGTGGGCTGTAAGGAGGAACATCTTAGAGGGTACAGCGCGGGCCCTCAAATACCTTCACCAGGACTGCACCCCAGGGATTATCCACCGGGATATGAAGCCCGCGAATATTCTCCTGGACGAAAATTTAGAGGCTAAGGTTGCAGATTTTGGGCTGGCGAGGGAGGCGGATGCGAGCAGGACTCATATGAGCACGAGTGTGTTTGGGACGGTGGGGTATTTGTCTCCGGAGTACTCGCAGCGGGGGCGGCTGTCGTTTAAGAGCGACGTGTTTGCGTTCGGAGTGCTGGTGCTGCAGGTGATTACTGGGAAGCTTCCGACGGACAGTGACGTGGCGGAACGAGGGCTCGCCAGGTAGGATGCTGATGGTGGTGATGATGGGGATGATGGGGATGATGATGCTGATGGTGGTGGTGGGGATGATGTTGAGAATGTTGATAATTCATGAGCATAGTGCTGTTCTGGCTTGTTTCGTCCATGCTGTTCTGTTACTTTATGATAGATGCGGATGCGAGTTCATGGCCATATTGACCCTCCTCCCTTAACTCACATCTTCATTCCCCCCTCCATCCTCCTTCAGTTGAATTTCCACCCGCTCCACACCTCCTCCATGTAGCCTCCAACCCCCTCCCCCAACCCCCCCACCTTCTTCTCCCCCTGCCCCCTTTCCCCGTCTAACAACATGTCACTGCAGGTGGGTGGGGATGCACACGGTGGCATCATTCGTGGACGACAGGATAGACGATGCGTTGCTGTACGAGGATGAGATCATGGGCGTTGTCACTCTCGCCCTGCAGTGCACCCAGACCGTGCCTCCCTGCCCATTGCCCACCCACCACCCCTCCATACCTGAGGTCTAGGGGTGTTGGCGAGGATTCACCTCCCCCTCCTCCCTCCTCCCTCCTCCCTCCCCCTTCCTCCCTCCTCCCCCAACCCCCCCTCCCCACCTCCCTCCAACTCCATGCCTGCAGGTGGGTGGGGATGCACACGGTGGCATCATTCGTGGACGACAGGATAGACGATGCGTTGCTGTACGAGGATGAGATCATGGGCGTCGTCACTCTCGCCCTGCAGTGCACCCAGACCGTGCCTGCTGACCGCCCCTCCATGCCTGAGGCTCTCGAGGTGCTGGAGAATCTGCACGACTTTGCCAAGGGGATCCGCATGGGGATAGACGCTAAGGAGGTGGAGTGAGGGAGGAGTGAGGGAGGTGGAGTGAGGGAGGAGTGAGGGAGGTGGAGTGAGGGAGAAGTGAGGGAGGTGGAGTGACGGAGGGAGGAATGCAGACGGTGAAAGGAGGGACAAAAGACAAGACAGCATGCTTGTGTGTGCTCTTACGGAGAAGCGGCATGTGCGTGGGGCTTTGGAGGTGTTGGAGAGGCGAATATGCATGGCTTTGCTATGGGGCTTTGATGGTGATAGATGCCAAGGAGGTGGAGTGTAAAGAGGAGTTTTCTTGTGTGTTGACATGGTGTCTGAGCAGGGGAGGGAGGGGAGATGAGTAAGTGGTTGGGGTTGTGGGAGATTCAGGTGGAGGAAGAAGGTTGTTCCAACCATTCACCTGGGCATCAATGCACATGAGTTGGGCTGTGGATGGGGAGGAAGAACGGATTCTACAACTGAGATTGTAACGTTTTGCCTTACTGTATCATAAGTTCGAACAGTCTACCCCCCACCCCCCCCCCTCCTCTCCCCCCCTCCCCCCCTCCTCTCCCACGTCTTCCCCCTCCACCGCTATTGCTCAACCGATTCTTCTACCGTATGTCTATTTGTTTTTTCCTGCCGTCAAGTCAATGCTAACTGAATGACAGATATGGTGCAGACTGGTTGTGGAGTTGTTGGGCACACATGGACTGCCTCGAAATAGTGGGTGTATAAACTTGTGTTGATTTGTGATATAATATGTTAATTGTGAAAGCTTGCTTATTGCAACTTGTAATAGGCATCGTGCTTCATTTCATCTGGGTAAGGGTACATCAATCTCGTCCAAATGTCTACGACATACAATTTCACTACATAGGGTGGGAGGGTGGGGAACTCAAACTAAAAATCTGAAAAGAAGAACGTGGGTGAGGCCAAATGGCCTCCTACCCCTCTTTTGTAGCCAAAAGAGGGCGAGTAGCGATGCGACGTTGCCTTTGCTGCGTTGGCAATCGCTTCACTATCACAATACAAGATTTTAGAAAGTGAATACACTTTCAAAAACTATCATTTTTGTGTTGATTTGTGGCTAGCAATTTATGCAGTTTAAGGTCAGATGTTTTTTGGATCAGGAAATGAGGTTGCCAGCAATGCATAGTTGAATTCTAGCACGGTCAAAGCTTCATTCTGGTGCAGAAGTGGTCTATAGCGGTGAAATGTAAACCGATGCCTAACGTGGCTTGCCGTATTAGACCGCGCTAGTGCACCCCACACCATACTAAAATATATGATCAACCCTAAGACGTTGACTCTTGGTTGTCTTTACAACTTCACTTCGGAGTTTGAGCTCGCGTATTAAAGCGGGAAATTAGCTTGTAACGGAGAGGCAGCAGGAAAGTGTGTCATTCTGGCAGCGGGGGCGAGTGCGATATTCCAGGTCGGGTCCTACTGGCCTGAGCCAAGCAGGAGAGCCAGAAAAGCCGCACCAATAAGGAATTCGAATATTGCTGCTATCGGCTCTCGCCCAATCCGGGCAAGGGTCTGGCCATGTGCTCATCCGGCGGGAGAAAGAGTGCCGCCTAGCAATTACAGGAACCTTCAAGTGGCACACTGTTTCGGATGCCACATTTCACGGGTTTCATGTGATTGGCCGCAGCTACTGGACGCTGGACACTTTGATCCTGTCGTGTCGTTCTGCCAATAGTGTCGTCTGGCGTCTTTCACATTTTCTGCCCGAGCCGGCAGGCACACGTCCAGCGACGTCTGTGCGATGCTCGTTGGGTTGCAAAAACATTTGGTAGCTACCGCCAGGCGCTGGTTCTCCGACTGACCTGCTTGGGGGGTGATGTGAATGTTTCAAATTGTGCGACAATGGCTTCCCTCTCCAATCGTTGCGGAATAGTTATCGTCTGGCCTGGCACTGGCTTGGATTCTGGCCCTACAAACCGAGCCGCCATTTCATCTTTTTGTGACTGTCGCTTGCCCGTGTACCCTGTTTCCGTTCGTTACGGCCTGGCAACAGAGTTTCATCTGACTGGCGCTGCGAGCCGGCGACAACTTTCATCGTTCGCTGTGCAAACTGTGCTTTTCGACGACTTTTTTTATCAGCCTCGGGGGAACCTGTGTGCGACCTGCCCAAGCAACGAGCCATTCGCAAGCGCCTCGAGGTCTGTGTCCGACGAAATAGCCCACCCAAATTCCAACTTGAAGCGACAATCTCGACGATCTTTGCCCCTTCCCATCGCGGTTTGGGCGTGGCACGGGCTGACCTGGCGTCGCGAAACAATTTGTGGATAACCGAGATTCGCGGTACGAAATTTTTGCAAGAGCCCAGAGGCGGGAGCAGGGCAAACACACCCGTCGGCTGGTTTGTGTACAACGAAACAAAAATGTAAACATTCGTCTGGCTCTCGTCTGCCCGGGAGAACCAGTCGCCTGCGCCTTTTCGCACAGCCAAGCCTACAGCCGATTCCCGTACCTGAGCAGCACACCACAAAATGAGCTCTGCTCGGAGGTCTCTGTGTCCTCGTGTGCGCCCCGTCGCCTGCTGCCCAATTCTGTGCGCCCCGTTCGTTCGGGCAGTCGCAGGATCTCCAGCCGAGCGCAGCAGCTCCCGCTGGCAGGCAGGGAGATTGGGAGGCAAGCAGAGGGATGCGGTCATCCCGCGAACGCGGGCATCCCGTGAAAGCGCAGTCGAGATGTTTGGGGAACAGAGTACATAAAGGGGAGCATCCTTCGCCTGAAATATCCATCTTTCACTCCCTCGATCTCATCTCATTCACGAGTTCTGACCTTCGGTGTTTCCAACACACTCCTGCCTTCTCGGATTTGAAGTCACTCGTGAACCAGTCTCCTTGAATATCACGCCTGTTCTCGATTCACTCTTTGTGACGCATTTGCTCGATTTCTCCGCTCAGTAGCTCTAGCTCCTGCTTGAACAGCACATTCGGCTTCCCGCCTAGCGCTGAACTCGAGCCGACGTCGTTTCGCAATCCACGTTCCTCGCGCCTACCTCTTCGAAGCTGCCTACTCTCTCCTTCCTCTCCTTCTCGTTCTCTCTCCTGCCAACGCCTCAGAATCACCCATGGCTTCTTGCTGGCCCATTCCCGAGTGCGCAATGCAACTAAGTGCCACATCAACTCTGGGCCTCAATTGCCAAGCGGGGTTCGAGCGACCAGGCATCATCACAGTCTTGGCGTCGATTCTCGATAGAGTGGTCGCGGTAAGCGAACAAGCTCCTCCCAGAATCTGCGGCAAGACTGGTCAGCAGCTGACGGTGTTTCACGGGCTCAGAGCGCCTGGAATCAGCATCGCCAAGTACCTGGATCGGATATTTAAGTACGCCAACTGCAGCCCGTCGTGCTTCGTGATCGCGTACATTTACATCGACCGATTGATCAAGTCGCAACCGGACATGGTCATCACGTCGCTGAACGTCCATCGCCTGCTGGCGACGAGCGTCATGATCGCCGCGAAGTTTCTTGACGACGAGTAAGTTACCACAAAATGACCCTAGCTTATGTCATCAATACACACAATGAAACGAATTCAAGCAAAGCTCACGTGTGATAGCTTTCTCCTTCGCACACTTTCCCTTCCAGTGGAACGAGTTGCTAACTCTTTTCTCCCTTTCTTCTTTCTCCTCCTTTCTCCAACAGATATTACAACAACGCGTACTACGCCAAAGTGGGTGGTGTTGCCACAAGCGAGATGAACAGATTAGAGTTGGAGTTTCTCTTCCGGATCAAGTTCAGATTGAACGTGACGACAGAGGAGTTCATGGAGTACTGCAAGCTTCTAGAGAACGAGCTCTGGACATTATGTCAGGTGCCGCAGGAGATGCAGTACGTGATGGCGACAACAGCGGCTCACGAGGTTCAGATTCAACAACAATACGCCTACGATTACTCTACAGCTGCTGCGATTAATAAAGCTTTGGCGTCGGGTGGGGATGCGGTGCAGACACCCGAGCAAAGAGCGGAGTTGAGAAGATACGCCAGCCCTCAGGATATCTGCTTAGTGGCTGCGTCGTAGTAGCGGTCAAGAGTGCATTGAGAGTTCAAAGGAGTAGAGACTCCAAGTCCCTATACGAATTCAATGTACCATAACACTTTTGACATATACTAGGCCCAATCATTCTTTTGTAGTGCATTTTTTAGGTTTCAAATTCTATTATGCCACGTGCAAACTTTCTCTTTCTCGTGTTTCTATGTGTCTTTTGCTCACATGGCTTTTCCTTGTGTGCCATTTGTCGGCGATCCTGGATGATCTTGTGTTGATGTCCTTTACTCTATTTTTCGGCGGACAGTGATAATCATCGATGGTCCCTTGTCCTTGATTTTTTCGACGAGATAAGACGTGCAGGGTGAGGAACGTCGTACGCTAAACCCCGTCCGCTGTTTTACTAGGTCGTCACTGAGTTTGCCGAGATAATGCTCAGCGTCAAGCAGACGCTCACTGAGCTTACCGCTCATTATTTTATTAGCGGGAGGCATTCTTCGTTTATTGCTGGTGCAGCGTCAGTCGTCCACTTTCTTACAAGCCGCGCGCTCGTTTTCCGCCATGGTTTTAATCAAAATCAGAGACTCGACAGCATGATTTCGCGACCAGACAGGAACCAGGATCAGGCGTGATCAGCCTAGACGGGGTTTATGCGGGCGGGGTTTGGCCCGAGGAGAGGGGAGGGGGGAGTCTTCCTCGGGGAGAAAAGTAGTGGGGAGGGCGGGAGATAATATCCTGATTTTGAGGGATGGGGGAAACAGCGGAGGACGAAGAGCGGAGAGCTCGAAAAGCAGGGGATTTGCCAGACTGGCGGAAATGAAGCACCCCACGTTTGGTGAAGAGCACCCGGTGATGTTGCGCTGGCACTGCGCGTGTCGTTGATGGATGGGGTGGGTGCGTACGCGCGGGTCGCCCGTTGATCGCCAATCGTGGAAGTCGCTCAGAGTCGCTTCGCCGACGCCTCTCGCTCGCCCGAATCATCGGCGGGCCGAGCGATAAAAAGCGAAACCTGGCGAGCGCGGGCGGTGCTTTCTAGGGTTGACGTGAACTTTTGGTTTCGGAAAAGCTGGGCAGGATAGAAGTTACTGTAGACATGTGGTTCCAGTGGCTCAAGCAGGTCCCCGATCTCCGTTGACATTTCGCTGGGTGCTGCACTCGTTCTGATTGGCCGCACCAGGGTGACTCTGTCAGCCGCACCACTTTACACGGGATTGTCAAGTCAATCTAGCACCTGACGGTGTCTCTGCTTTTGGCGCAAAGCTCGTTTCCCTCCCTGCTCGCCACCCCAATGGTTATGTACCGCTTCTGAGCACAACCCGCGATAAGACATTAGCAGCTAACTTCAGCCAGCTTTGTGGGTCCATTGGACTGTCTCACAAAACGAAGCATTTTGTTGGACTATTATAATTAGCACGTGGGATCACCAAAAAAAAAAAAAAAACACCATCTTCAGGATAGACTGGACCATCATTGCCCGCGTTCACAAAAAAAAACCGCGGTGAATATGAATTTAGCCATCTTCATGGTTGCATTTGACGGTTCCTAAGCCAAGAAATAGCTCACATAGACCATCACTTGGCTCTTCCATGCGCATTGGAGACAAATCATTATCTTATACAATTATGAGTGATCTATAACATCTCCTCCAATCCAACCAGTCAGATCTCATTGCTCTAAGATGGGACCTGTAGAACCCATCAATCAGAGCATCATTTAAAGATGCACCAACTCAATTTCCTATTGCTTCATTCCCACTTGCACCCTCAAGGAGGGCATTTTAAGGGCAACCATTACACCACAGAAGGTCTCATCGCAAAAACGTAGGCGGGAAAGTGTTGCTAGCCACGTGGGAGCCGCCGCCATCACTGCTTGACCCGTCATCCTCCCAGTTCACAACCAGAAGATTATTTTGCCCCATGTTGCCCTCGACTACTTCCCTCCGTTGATCAAGCGTCCATCTACCGTCCACAATGAACTTGACCTGGCCGAAAACATTTGGGAAAAAAAAATGAGTTAAAGAAAAACGAGGAGGGTGCTTGAAGGGAGAGCGAGATGAAAGTGGGGAAAACATGTGACGCGACTTTGGAGGGTGAGGGGGACGGCACGAGCATGGTGGGGATCGGAAGACGGAGATGTAACAATTACTGAATTTATGGAGAACTGAGGAGGCAAAAACAGATTTTGGGTGAGGGAGAGCTGGGCAAACAGAGGTGGTCGAAGGGGGGACTATGGATGGGGTGGGGAGATGGGGTGGCATTTTAGAGGACCACTCTAACACGCAGACAGAGAACCGCATAGCACCGCACTGTACCTGATAGTGGCCCGGATAGAGCCAAAGAGTGCATGCCCAAATCATAGCGCCCCTGCGACAGAACAGGGAGGGGAGGGCAAGGGGATGGGGAGGTGGGGGAGAGAAACGGAAGGGCGGAATGAGAGTAAGCTTCAGATTCTAAGATCCCGCACATCAAAACACTCAGCACCTCAGGACAATGCAACGGGTTTTCATTTGGCTAAGTCCTCGCTAGATTGCAATGCAACGGGAGCCAGGAAAGGTGCACCACATCCACCGTACCTGCTGCATCAGGCACCAGGGGCACATGGCTCTTCCACCATACCTGGCTGGCTCCACCGTACCTCCTGCTACCATACCTGCTTCCATCGTGATTGGGAATGTGTGAGGCACCAGGGGCACATGGCTCTGCCACCATACCCGCTTCCGCCGCACCTCCTTTCACCGTACCTGCTTCCACCGCGCCTGCTATTACCGTGCCTGCTGCCATCATGGTTGGGACTCATCAGGCACCAACGGCACATGGCTCTGCCACCCGGTGAAGCTGGCACCAACGGCACATGGCTCTGCCACCCGGTGAAGCTGGCACCATTCCTGCTTCCACCGTACCCACTGTCACCGTACGGTCTTTTCCTGCTTTCAACGTCCCTGCAGCCATCATGGTTGGACATGTGCGAGGACTCATCGGGCACGAGCGGCACATGGCTCTGCCACCATACCTGCCTTCACTGTACTCGCTACAACCATACCTACCGCCACCCTGCTGCTTCCACCCCACCTGCTGCCATCGTGGTTGGGAATGTGAGAGCTCTCATCAGGCACCAGCGGCACGTGGCTCTGCCACGGTACTTGCAGGCACTACCTACTTTCCACCACACCTTTCGACACCGTATGGTCTGTTCCAGTTACCTGCTGCCATCGTGGTTGGGAATGTGAGAGCTCTCATCAGGCACCAGCGGCACGTGGCTCTGCCACCATACCTGCTTTGACCATGCCTGCTTCCACCGTACCTACTTCCACCGTACCTACTTTCACCCCACCTGCTGCCATCGTGGTTGGGAATGTGCGAAGACTCATCAGGCACCAGCGGCACGTGGCTCTGCCAACCATTGAAGCTGCCTGCCAGCAGCACCGCGTGGCCGTCGCCCCAATACTCCACCTCCACCTGATGAGGGAGAGAGGGGGGGTGACAGGAGGAGGGGGGTGACAGGAGGAGGGTGGTGACAGGAGGTAGGGATGTAGGGAGGAAGGGTCAGAGACCTTCCTCTCCGCTGCCAGCAGTAGCAGCACCTCGTGGCCCTCTCCCCAATACTCCACCACCACCTGATGGGGAGACAGGGGGAGTGAGAGGAGATAGAGGTAGGGACGTAGGGAGGTGGGGTCAGTGGACCTCCTCTTTCCTCACTGCGCGCCAGCAGTAGCAGCACCTCGTGGCCCTCGCTCGCCCCAATACTCCACCACCACCTGATGAGGGAGGGAAAGTGAGGGACAGAGAAAGGGACGATCTAGTCAACTGCCCACCACGGCCCACCACTGCTCACCACCCATCACTGCTCACCACCCATCACTGCTCACCACCCATCACTGCTCACCACCCATCACTGCCTTCCTTCCAGTCAACTCTCTCACCATTCAACACCCACATCTGCCTCCAGCTTTACACGTCTCTCCAGCAAGGGTACACCATTCACTCACTGATTTACCCTGTTACCTGTTATAGTCACCTTCATTAGAAACCCTATCGCGAGCTGAGAGGCCTCCAGCTTGACTTCTCTCTCCAGCACAATTACACCTGATACTCGTTATAGGTACCTTCACTAGAGCCCCCATGGCCTGCTGAGCGGCCTCCAGCTTCACGTCTCTCTCCAACACAGATTCACCAGTCACTCGTTATTGCCACCACCTTTAATTCGTTATAATCACCTTCACTAGAGCCCCCATGGCTTGCTGAGCGGCCTCCAGCTTCACGTCTCTCTCCAACACCGCCTGCCGTGCCAACGCCAGCTCACTCTCTGCATTCGCCTTCATCACATGGAACTGCGCCTGCAAGGGAGGAACGAGAATGGAGGAGTGGGGACAGTGAGGGAGGGCGCAAAGCAGAGAGAGGGGAAGCACTGAGAGAGCTCTCAGCACCAGCGCCAGCCCACTCTCTGCGCACCAGCGCACCAGCGCCAGCCCACTCTCTGCATTCGCCTTCATCAGTTGGAATGTGGGTGCGGTGAGAGAGGGTACGGTGAGAGAGAGTGCGGTGAGAGAGGAGATGGAGGTATCAGCGGTGAGAGAGATGAGGGTGCAGTGAGAGAGAGATGGTGAGATGGTGGGTGCTGGCGTGACAGCAACATGGAAGGAGGATACCATCACGTCCACATCAGCGCCACCGTGGCATCTGATGTGCCACATCATCTAAACAACCCTGCCATGCACATCAGCGCCAGCTCGACCTCTGCTTAGACACAAACCCCCTGATATCCCAACCCCCTAGTATCCCAACTTCTTCACTCGTTGCCATGCGGTGACTTTTGAGTCGACTCAAAAGTCACCTCTGCTTAGACACCAACCCCCTGATATCCCAACTTCTTCACTCGTTGCCATGCCACTTGACACTTCACGCCCTATCGCCCCAACAATCTCCTGCTCCGATTCCTCACATTCTCACTCGCACCCATGAACTCTCTCACACACCCACATGCACGCCTACCTTGGCCTCCTCCATTTCCCGCATTATGACTGAAAGCTCCTCCTCCTCCACAGCCACCCACTCGCCTACCTTGGCCTCTGTTCGCTCACACCCACTCGCCTACCTTGGCCTCTGTTCGCTCACACCCACTCGCCTACCTTGGCCTCTGTTCGCTCACACCCACATTCACTCCTACCTTGGCCTCCTCCATCTCCCGCATTATGACCGAAAGCTCCTCCTCCCTTGACGCCTGATGGGAGACAGTGAGGAGTGACAAGAGACAGGAAGGGCACGGCAGGGGAAGGTCGGGGAAAGACGGGCAAGTTTTAGTCAACTCAAAAGTCCCGCATTATGACTGACAGCTCCTCCTCCCTTGACGCCTGACGGGAGAGAAGAGGGGCGGTGAGGAGGTGGGGCGGAGGAGAGGGGCGAGGATGGACGGCAAGGGAGGAATGACGATTGAGAGGAGGAGCAGGAGGAAGGGGGCAGAGACGAGGAGTGACACAACGGCCTAATCACACAATGGCCCATCTCCCCCATTATGACTGTAAGCTCCTAGGTCCTTGCCCATTTACCTCCCGGCATCTTCCCTCCCGGCATCTTCCCTCCCGGCCTCTTCCCTCCCAGCCTTGTCCTATGCTGACTATATAAGGGCACTTGGTACGTTCACATCCCAACTGTCATTAATCTGTGTGGGAAGGACAGTTGATTCCCAAGAGATGCCCAACATCTCTCGCTCTCTAGTTCACCAGCAAGGATTTGATTCTCTCTAGCTCACCAGCAAGGATTTGATTCTCTCTAGCTCACCAGCAAGGATTTGATTCTCTCTAGCTCCAGTTCAGCCTCTTCTGAAAAGAGCGTCGCCTGGTGAACGAAGGAGGAACCGTGAAAAGGATGGGAAGGTGAACCAGCAGGGTGAGCGGAGATGAGACTAGAAGAAAAACGGAGGGGAGAGAAGAGAAGAAAAGAGAAGAGAAGCAAGAGAAGAGATGGTGTGATGAAAACACCAAGCAATACGTGTTAACGTGTGAAAAAAGCCACGAATTGTCACCCCACTCCCCTTCTAAGAAGTCTCAAGACTGCCTGCCCACTCATACCCTACCTGTCCACCCCTCACCTGACTGCCCGCCAGCCTCTCTCCCTCGGCCATAGCTTCTGCCTCCCATAAACCCATGGCCTCCCCAAAGGTGACGAGAACAAGGGCTGTCACTGCCCGCTCTTCTCTCACCTGAATGCCCGCTCCTCTCTGCTGCCCGCTCGCTCCCCTCCCTCTCACCTGCCTGGCCGCCAGTCTCTCTGCTTCCGCCATAGCTTCCGCCTCCCACGCCTCCATGCCCCCCCCGCCCACTCCTCCTTTGATCTTCTCTCCCACCTCACTGCCTGCTCACCCAACTGCCTCTTCTTCCCCACTCACCTGCCTGGCCGCCAGTCTCTCTGCTTCCGCCATAGCTTCCGCCTCCCACGCCTCCATGCCCCCCGCCCACTCCCCCTCGCCTGCACTCCCACTGCTCCCCCCGCTCCCCTCGCTCCTGTTGCAGGCGGAGGTTGAGGGTTGAGTTGCAGTAGCATACACGGATGGGCAAGGGAGAGACAGAGGGAGAGGCAGAGGGAGAAATAGAAAGAGACGCTGGGTGGGATTAGGAGGACTGGGCAGACGTGAGCAACGAGCGACCGAGACGACTTTTGAGGCGCCTGAAAAGGCGGAGGGAGAATTCGAAAGTGACGCTAGGTGGGATTAGGAGGACCGGGCAGACGTGAGCAACGAGCGAGCGAGTATGCAACAAGAGAGTGAGAATCCGTCTCAAATCATTCACTGGACTCGTTTCACTTGCTCGCCTTGTCACCTGGTTGCTACGCCTTGCCATGCCAGCAGGGTAGGAGGAAGTCAAAATAGGAAGGAGGGACAAGCGTAGTGCTCCTATTTTGACAAGCAAGGAGGCAGGGGTGGTTGAATGCCCGTTTCTTAATTAGACGCTAATTTCTTAGTCGACTCAAAAATTGGTTGCACGCTCAGATTCCTCTGCAGATCTGTACCTATAATCGTAGGGAAGCTTCGAGGAAGCTTCGTAAGGACCGACGGGGGCGGGAGCGGGAGGCCGGGCACGGGGTGTATTGTAAGCGGGCGAGGAGAGAAAAGTTTCGCTTGACTGAACAGCGGATCGGTTTATCGACTCCCGAGCCTGCGAGCGAGCGTCATCAGGAATACCATCGTACATTCTGCTCCTCCAGAAGCTATCCTCCTCACCCTCCTCACCCCACTCCTCCTCCTCCTCCCCCACCTCCGCCTCCTCCTCCTCATCCCCCTTCTCCAACCCCTTAACTCCCCCCGTAAACGCCCTCGCTTCACTCCCCTCCGCCCTTCTCATTCTTTTCCCCTCGTTCTCTCCCTCCTCCTCTCTTTCCCCTGCTTCACTCTCTGATTCGCTTGTTGAGTCCAGCTTACTCAGGTCGAGATTCAGACTCGGGAAGAGCCAGGCGACTTCCGGTGCAATGTACCCATCACCTTCGTTACTGTCACCACCGTCAGTGTCACTATCGCTGCTGGTGCCTTGGGTGCTTGACAGGGGGGTGGTGTGGGAGGGAGAGGAGGAGGGAGAAGTGGAGGGGGAAGGAGAGGAGGAGGAGAAGAATGGGGTGGAAGAGGGGTTGAAGGAGGAGGAGGAGGAAGAGGGAGAGGAGGAGGCGGAGGGAGAGGAGGGAGTGGGGAAGGGGGGTGAAGAAGACGAAGGTACCGAGGCCGTGAGGCCTGCTTCGCTGTTGCTGGATAGTGGTTGTAGCGAAGTTGCTTCAGACGAGGATAGAAGGCCCCTGGGGAAAGGAGACGTGGGGGAGGGGAGGCGGAACGAAAGGAGGGCGGAATCACCTTATGTAAGATTGACTAGTCTTAGGAGAATCAAAACCAGCCATTTTCGAGGCCATACCATACAGCAACTTCTTCTCCTCCCCCAGATGCAACTCCCCCAGATGCACCTCCCCCAACACATCTATTTAAACAGCACACCCACCCACTCACCCACCCACCCATCCTCCCACTCACCCACTCACCCACTCACCCACCCACCCATCCTCCCACTCACCCGCTCACCCACCGATCCATCCTCCCAATCACCCACCCACTCACCCACTGAACCACCCACCTCTGCTGCATCCGCTGCTGAAGCACCTTCGCCTTCTGCTGCGCCATGGACATTGCCGAACCTGGCCCCGAGCCTAACGACCCAGGCCCCGAGCCTAGCGACCAGCTCTCCACCCTCCCGCCCTGCCCATCCATCCCGTCCGCCCCCTCCGCCTCCGCCCCATTCCCCCCGTCGTCCGCCACCAACTGTAGCAGCTCGTGCACCCGCCTGTACCCCCTCGTGCGCATGGCTCCCGCCAGGAAGGCGCTGGGGGGAGATGGCGGGAGAAAGGGGGGAGAAAGAGGGGGAAATGGCGAGTGGGGGACGGAACGGGTGGGGGAGGGGAAAAGTCACACGCCAGTGTACTTGCCTCCCGTACCCCTCGTGCGCATCGCTCCTGCAAGGAAACTTCTGAGTCAACTCAGAAGTTACTTGCCTCCCGTAACTCCTCGTGCGCATCGGTCCTGCGAGGAAAGCGCTGAGGGAAGGGGGAGCGGGGAGGGGAAGGGGTGGGGTTGGTGATATGCGAGGGGTGTTGTAAAGAGACGGGTGCGGTTAGGGGAAAAGGAGGGGAGAAGGGAGGAGGGAAAGTGGGGGGAAAGGGAGGGGGAGAGTGGGGAAGGAGTCCCTTTCAGTGCGCCTGCGTGCGCCCCTTGGTGCGCATTGTTCCCGCCAGAAAAGCGCTAGGTGCGCCTGCGTGCGCCCCTTTTGCTGCTGTTGGGTGCCCCCCTTGCTGCCACTGCGTGTACCCATGGTGCCAGCGCTAGCTGCGCCTTACCCGCCGAGCGACGCGACCTCCTTAATCGACGGAAGGTTCTGTTCCGACAGCCCGTTCTCCGCGAGAACTACCCGCAATTGCCGCACGAATGCCACGTCGGACTCGCTGACGTTGCCAGCGGGAATCCTGGAAGAGTCTGACGCAGCCGCCACCACCAGGGACCTTGCTGGCGGCGCGACAGCGCTTTTGAAACGGTTTGGAACGAGACATCGGCGTTGCGCGGTTGTGAGAGTTTTGTACGCGTTATGAGGCGCTGCGGTAGCGAGTGAGGGTCGGTACAGTTTGAAGGTGGCGAAATGCGGTGTAGGAGAAAATGGTACCGCGACTGCGTGCTGCATGGCTTCGACTGCCATTTTCCCTTTTTGCCTATAGATTAAAAATTTCAATGCGGAGCGATAGTTGGACTATATAAAGCAACGAACGGGTGCTCTGACTACGAGATGTTGGCAACTATTGTCGAGGAAGGAGACTATCGGCCATAGAAGAACGAACAATTGATCGGTCATGGAAGCGAAAGAAAAAGGTGTTCGCATTTGCTATCCTCAAACGCATCACTAATCCGCGGAATACGCGGGGAGAGCTCGCATCGCGCGACCCTGCCGCGTTGGCACAAAGACGGGGAGCCCTTGAAGGAATGAGCCTTCCAAGATTTTAGCCGTTATTACCAGGACCAGGCAAAGTTGGCGGGAATTGGAGAGACCACAATGCGGCCAGGTGCATGCACCCTACCTAGGGAACCGCGATCGGAATGACGAGGAACAAAATGTGGCTCGTTACAAGGGCAACGCATTCGATGGGCATGCGTTTGCAGATGTTTGACCTCCACCTTTACCTTTTTGTCTTCATTTCATGCTGAGAAAAAAAATACAAAATGCCATATAGTTATAGTATTGCATTTTTTAATTCGAAATAGAGGTTTATTTTGTTTTCTCGCCAAAAAAAATGGATAGTGATATATCACTGAAGAAATTTTAGCAACAGAATTTCATAACATTTTACATCGGTTCCATGTAGAATATTAAAACATGATAACAGTTTGTGATTTATAATGCTGTACTGAATCACAATATATAGGAATTCCGGGTCGAGAAGGCGATTGGCGGATCAGAAACTAGGCAGCAGCAAGAATCCGTGTGGTCAAATCTCAAAAATCGAACCCAGTCTGACCAGATCGTACCGTTACACACCGTCCGATCAGCTTTCAAATCTCAAGGCTGTGCAAGGCCTCTTGTTGCTTGCAAATCTCAACGCGGTGCTGTGCCAGTCCCACTTTCACCCTCTGAAGCCAGCAGAAAGTAGGAACCGTTGACTTGCCAGTCCGCTTTGCTATCCTGTGACTGACTTCGCGTGTACTCCGCCTGGTACGGGTTATAACGTAGAATGCGTAATGTAGAACACGGTTTTGCAGCGCCAGAGGCTCTCGTGTGTGGAATCTTGAACGCCAGTGCGTGTCTGCCAGCTTCGCGGCTGTATCCGTATCTGCTGTTCCGGTCGTCGCTCTCTCGCCAGTTCGCTCCCCCCCGACGTCCGAGATCGAGGGTACTACAGCGTTCACAGGAGCCTGCTGACATCAGACCGTAGCGAGATCGGCTCTTATGATCGTTTCTAGCTACAATTGACAGGAGCCTGTTGTCAAAAAACAGATACTATTTACTACGACGTGACGACTACCCCGAAACGGCGACTTGAACAACTTCCCTCCTAGAAGTCATGTTTCCGGAACAGTTCTGACAGCACGCACAACCAGACACAAGCAGCCGTGCGTAGCCCCGCCTCGCACTAGATCTCGCTGTAGTCGTGGCGGATGTTTCGGCTATGTTGACGGCTAGCCGTCAATCGACTCCAGAGCATGCAGCGAGATTTGGACTAGTTCTACCGGAAGCTTGAGAGTAGCCGCTATGATCGGTCACTAGAGAGCTCAGACGTTCAACAAAGAACGTTCTTGTAGCATTCGTCTGCAGATTGCCTGAGAAGATCTCATGTCGTCCAGTTGCGTGTTCATTAGGTAGAAAACGCACGATGCCTGTTGGCATTCAACCGCAGATAGTATGAGACTCCCAGAACATCGTGTAACAAGTTTGGGTTTTTTTTCAGCAGATAGACTAAGAGAATCCAGAAAATCAGACAGCCACGATGGCCGGCAACATTCGTCTGCAGCGGCGGCTGCAGCGCAAGGCGAAGGCGCGGCGGCAGCAGCTGAGCTACCGCACGATCCGCTCCGCGTTCCTCGTCGCCGCTCTCTGCTCCGTCACGTACGCGTGGGTCATCTTCCTCAAAGGCTCCCGACCATACGTACGTACGCGTGGGTCATCTTTCACAAAGAATTCACGTTACGCGTACGTACACATGGTCATTTTCTCAAGAGCGCCAGCCCATGCGTACCTACGGTGTTGCTTCACGTACATGCCTCATGAGGAGCTTGCGTACTTAGAAAATACTTCTTCCCCCCTCTTCCTACACCCCCCGTTGTGACCTCGTGTGAACTGCAGTGCTAGTGGGGTGCGTCCACGGGTAACCGCGTGCACCTTGAGTCAAAACACCAGTTGAATACACCTCCTCAGTTAACTCAAAACACGCGACCCTTATTCTCTTCCTGCACCCCCCCTGTCACCTACTGTGCCCCGCCTGCAGTGGTGTTGGGGTCTGTCCACGGGCGATCATCCTGAGCTTATTAAGGCCCGCTTTGCCATTCAAGGCGCCTCAAAAGCCTTTTCTCCCTCCCCTCCCTCTGCCCCTGTGTATGCTGCCCCTGCAGTGGTGGTGGGGTCTGTCCACGGGCGACCATCCTGAGCTCATCAAGGCCCGCTTCGCCAGTGTAAGCACCACGTTGCAGCACCAACCCGTACCACCTTGCAGCACCGCTTTGAAGCACCGTACCACCTTGCAGCACCGCACCACCTTTGCAGCATTCCCTTGCACCATTCGCAACTGTCTGCCGAGACCATTCTCTCTCTACCTGCTTCTGCAGTTCTACCTCCGTTCAACGCTTCAATTCCGCGTCATGCGCCTCTCTCTCCCGCCCTGCCGATCTTCCCTCGCGCCCAATCCCCCCACCTCTTGTCTAACCGTTCGTTCGTTTTCCATACCCCCCGTGCGGTGCGCTTTTTGAGTCAATGATCTCTCCCTCGCCCTGCCCATTTTCCCTCGCGCCCAATTCCCCCACCTCTTGTCTAACCGGTCGTTCGTTTTCCATACCCCCGTGCGGTGAGCCACTCCCTGTGGTTGCAGAGAGCGCGTGAGCCGGCAACTCTGTGGGACAACCCCGTGAAGGGCAAGTGGCAGCAGTGCGTGCGACCCTCCCCTGCATACGCTGGTGAGTTAGTCAGCTTTTCCCCCCTCCCCTCCCAAGCGTATGCTGATGAGTCAGTGAGAGCCATCAGCATGAGAACCTGGGGCGTGGTATGAACGTCTCTTCCAGCGAATTCCTGGACTGGGTTGAGGTGTGCTTGTGTAGAATCTGGGTGCGTGGACCCACTTTCTGTTGGAAGCAAAGTAGAGAGAGAGTATCATTTCTAGACTTACCTAGTCATGCTCTCCCGTGCCCCCTGTGTGTCGTGTGTCCTCCCTGATCACACTGTCATGTCATGGCGCCCCTCCTTAGCCTGCCTGAAGGTGTGCTGCTGTACAGGCGATCATTAAAATTCACAAGTTCCTGCCTCTGGTCTTGGCTTGGCCAGTCAACCTCCCCTGCGCCGCCTCTCACATTGTCGCGCCACCCCTCTTTTTTGCCTGCCTGCAGGCGCGCTCCTGTACGAGTCAACGGGGTACCTGCAGGTGTTCTTGGAGACTCTGAAAACCCCCTCTCTTGCCACCCTGGCCCCCTTTGCCTACCGCCCCCCATCCCCCTTGCCTGCCTGCAGACGCGCCCCTGTACGAGTCAACGGGGTACCTGCAGGTTCTACCTGCAGAAACCTCAATCAGTCCCTCTCATGCCCCCCTTGCCTGCCTGCAGACGCGCCCCTGTACGAGTCAACGGGGTACCTGCAGGTGTTCTTGGATGGCGGCCTCAACCAGCAGCGCATTAGTGTAAGCCGCTCTGCACCCATCTCTATCCGGCTGCACCCATCTCTACTGTTTTGCACCCATCTCTAGTGATCTGCACCCATCTCTATTGCTCTGCAACCATATCAAGCGATCGGCACCCATCTCTACTGATTCAGCTCAGATTCCTGTGTTGCTCGCCTGCCCAACGTGATAACCCTTAAAGCCAACTCAAGATGTCTCCTCCCCTTCGAATTTTGAGGCTCCTCAAAAGTCAATTCCTGTATTGCGCGCCCGCTGAACGTGATAATTCATCTAGTCGACTCAGGATGTCCTCCTCTCTTCCTCCCTCTGTCCGTCTGTTCTCTGCATGCTTCAAATCTGCACTCGTCTATGATGGTTCAGCTCAGGTTCCTGTGTTGCTCTCCTGCTGAACGTGATAATTCATCTAGTCGACTCAGGATGTCCTCCTCTCTTCCTCTCCTTGTCCCTCTCTGTGTGTGTCAGATCTGCAACGCGGTGGCAGTGGCTCGCCTGCTCAATGCCACGCTGCTCATCCCACACTATCAGATCAACCCTGTGTGGCTCGACGACAGGTAACAGTGTGTGCTTCCAGAGAACACAGTGTGTGCTGCTGACGGGAAACAATGCCTGCTGACAATTCGATATAGAGCACTTTATGCGCTACCTGCGGCCCATACCTCTCCTTTCCCCCCCATCCTTCCTTCCCCCTGTTCCCCTCCTCCTCCTCTCCCCCCTCCCAGCCAGTTTGAGGACATATTCGATATAGAGCACTTCATGCGCTACCTACAGCGAGACGTGCTGATAGTGAGGCAGCTGCCGCACAAGTACCGGTGGAGCACGCGGGAGTTCTACAGCACGGGCGTGCATCAGAACCGCATCAAGTTCGCGCCCATGCACGCCTCCCCCGAGTGGTACCTCAAGAACGTGCTGCCGAAGCTGCAGCGGTGAGTGATTGAAGCTTGTAAGCAGGTCTACCCCCCATGCACGCCTCCCCAGCCTGGTACCTCAAGAACGTTCTTCCAAAGCTGCAGCGGTGAGTGCTGGCAGGCACTGACCTTACCGGTGGAGCACGCGGGAGTTCTACAGCACGGGCGTGCATCAGAACCGCATCAAATTCGCGCCCATGCACGCCTCCCCCGAGTGGTACCTCAAGAACGTGCTGCCGAAGCTGCAGCGGTAAGTGCTGGTTGCCACTCGCACTTGGCTAAGTGCTTCTCTTCGCTGGTTCAGAAGCCGTTCCCTCCCGAACATGCACGCATCCCCTCAGTGGTACCTCAAGTACGCGCTGCCGAAGCTGCAGCGGTAAGTGCTAGGGGACACTTAGCTAAGTGATTGAGTTGTAAGCTGGCTTGAGAGCAGTTTTTCCTCCATGCACGCCTCCCCCCAGAGGAAAGTCCTGCATGGAGCAGTGTTAATTGTGAAAGTCCTGCTGACACTGGCGCCCGACACCTGCCCCTCCTGTCTCTCTTCCATCCTTCCGCTCCTTGCTCTTCCCTTTATCCCCTCTTCCCCACTCCTCCGCCTGCACCTAGCGTGGTGGCGAGGCGAGCACTCTTCACCCCACCGCCTCACCTTTGACTGGCTGCCTTATAAAACCGTTCTCCCCTCCTCCCTTTCCTTCCCCTCTCCTCTTCCTCCCCTTCCCCCCCCACCATCAGTCATGGCGTGGTGGCATAGCGCCCTTCAACCACCGCCTTGACTTTGACAGCCTGCCTCTTCTGCTCCTTACTTCCTCCTCCTTCCGCCTTTTTCAACCCTTTGCTCCCCAACCTCTCCCACCACCATCAGCCATGGCGTGGTGGCAATAGCGCCCTTCACGCACCGCCTCGCCTTTGACGGGCCTTCCTCATGCAACCCTTTCCGCGTACTTCAACCCACCCCTTACCTCCCTCCCACCATCAGCCATGGCGTGGTGGCAATAGCGCCCTTCACGCACCGCCTCGCCTTTGACGGGCCTTCCTCATGCAACCCTTTCCGCGTACTTCAACCCACCCCTTACCTCCCTCCCCCCGGATCAGCCATGGAGTGGTGGCAATAGCGCCCTTCACGCACCGCCTCGCCTTTGACGGCCTGCCTCCAGACGTGCAGCGCCTGCGCTGCCGAGTCAACTTCCACGCGCTGCGATTCGTGGAGCCCGTCCGCAGGCTCGGGTGAGTGGAGGCTTGGGTAAGAAACGGTTGTGAGTGAGATAAGGGGTTCAGAGCAGACGTGCAGCGCTTGCGCTTCCGAGTCAAATTCCGAGCGCTGCGATTTGTGGAACACGTCCGGAGGCTCGGGTGAGCGGAGGAGGCTCGGGTGAGTGGAGGAGGCTCGGGTGAGTGGAGGAGGCTAGGGTGAGTGAAGGAGGCTCGGGTGAGTGGTGGAGGATTGGTTGAGTGGAGGGATCGTTTTGTGAGTGAAGGAGGCTCAAACGTACGACCCTTTCTTTCTCTCACACTCATCCTTTTTTTCCTTCTTTTTTTTCTTGTCCCCCCCAAATATTATGTTTCATCCTCCCAGGAAATTTCTAGTGGAGCGACTGAGGGACCCCAACAGGTGGCACGCGAAGCACCGCAAACTTACCACCCTTCCTTTCCTTCTCGCTCATCCTATCTTTCTTACTCCCCCTGTTTTTTCCGTTCTCCCAGGAGGATTCTAGTGAAGCGACTGAGGGACCCCAACAGGCGGCACGTGAAGCGAGGCGTGCTGTTTGGGAAAGGGGGGGATGTGTCGAGTTATGGCGGCAAGGGGAAGGTGGGAGGGATTGGGGAGGGAGCAGGGGAAGGAGAGAAAACAGCAGCAGAGAAAGAAGCAGAGGACGAATCTGAGAAGGCAGTAGAGATGGCAGTAGCGAAAGCAGCGGAGATGGTGGGGCAGTTGCAGGAGGAGGCTGGTGCTGGTGCTGGTGCTGGTGCTGGTGCAGGAGTGAGTGGAGAAAGGGCAAAGAGTTCGCGTGAAGGAAAAGAGGAGACAGAGGAGACGCGTGAAGGGAACGATGAGACGGAGGAGATCTCTCGAGAGACTCTTGCTGGGGAAGGAGAGGGGAAGGGGGGGGTGGTGGGTGGAGGCGAGGGGACAGCTGCTGCTGGGGTGAGGGTGATTGAAGATGGAAAAGGCTTGTCTGGGGTATCGACTGGTGGAAGTGATGATGGTGATGATGAGCGTGATGGTGGTGGTGATGGTGGTGGTGCTGCGGCTGCTGCCGCTGCTGCTGCTGCTGCTGCTGGTGTTGATGCAAGTGGTGCTGTTGGTGGCTTGCGGCAAGGGAGCAAGGGTGGTATCGAAGCTGTGGAGGAGGATGAGGAAGAGGAAGAGGGGGAGGGGGAGGCGGAGGGGGGAGGCAAGAGGAGGTTGCTGCAGGAGAGTCGGGGAGGGGTGGGGGACGGAGTAAGTGTGGCGAAGGGAGGAGGCGGAAAAGGAGGAGGAGAAAGTAAAGGAGGTGGAGCAGGGGTGGGTAGGATGGGCGAGGAGGATTCGGAGGAGGGGAGTGAGGGCGCGTTTTGGAGTGAGGATGGGGTGATTGACGAGGCGGCAAGGGAGAGAGTGAGACGGGCGTTGCGTGCAGGGCGAGAGGGGCGAGTAATGGCGGTGCGAGCAGGGAACGTCACTGCAGGGAGCGCCACTGCTGGAAATGGCAGTGCGGGGAATGGGAGTGCGGGGAACAGCAGTGGAGTTGGGAAAGTGGAGGTGGGAGTGGTGTTGAATGAGCAGGGGGGTCCCGTGGATGGTTTATCGCAGATAGAAGAGAATGACGAAGGGGGGGACACGGGTGGTGGAGAAGGCGGTGCGGGCGGGATCCGCAGCAGCAGCGGCGGCGGCGGCATCAGCAGCAACGGCAGCAGTAAGGAGGGTGATGCGGGCAGCAGCAGGTTGTTGAGTGGTCGGCCGCTGCTGGAGAAGGGAGGGGGATGGGGGCGCAAGGTGGGGAAGTTGAAGAGATATGTGGCCATGCACCTGAGATTCGACATGGTAAGTGGGTGGGAATCAACCGATTTTCAACATGGTGAGGAAAGGAATCACCCAGTGAGGATGGAAACACCTGAGATTCGACATGGTTTTGATGGGAGTTACCTGAATTTCATCATCACCACCCTAACTTCTCCGCTTATATACCACCTTTACGACTACCCCAAACACCTTCAACCGCTTCAAAGCTCCTCCTTCCCCCCCTCCCACTCCTTGGGACAAGGTGGCTCACTAAGCATGTGACTATGGCGAGACGTAGGCAGAGCATGCATTCCTATCCAATTACCCGTCCCTTTCAACCTCACCTTTCCCCGTTCCTCCCCTCGCTCCGCACGCCCGTGGTGTGACAATACAGACAGGACATGGTGGCGCACTCAGCATGTGACTATGGCGCGACGTGGGCAGAGCGCAAGGCCTTTTCAAAAATATCGCGAGTATGGAGCGATATGCATGGCTGGGCTGCGTGGATAAGCTGTGTTGCTCCTCCAACTAGCTGCGCCTGCAACTGCTCAAGTCCCCCCCTCCCTCCCCGCCTCGTCCCTTCCAAGCCCACCCTCCCTTCCCCTCCCTCCCCAAGCCCTTGGAGTGACAATACAGGACATGGTGGCGCACTCAGCGTGTGACTATGGCGAGACGTGGGCGGAGCGGGAAGCTTTATCAAAGTACCGAGAGTATGCATGGCTGGGCCGAGTGGACAAGCTGCGCTTCTCCTCCGATGAGCTGCGCCTGCAGCTGCTCTCACCCACACATGCATGCACACCTCTCCGGGTTTATTACACTTCAAGCGGCTAATCCGTCAACTTCTACCCCCTTTCCCTTTCCCCCACTCCGTCCCTTCCAACCCCACCCTCCCCACTCCCACCCCTCCGTTCGTTATGTGACTATACAGGACATGGTGGCGCACTCGGCGTGTGACTATGGCGAGACGTGGGCGGAGCGCGAGGCCCTTTCGAAATATAGGGAGTACGCATGGCTGGGGCGAGTGGACAAGCTGCGCTTCTCCTCCGATGAGCTGCGCCTGGCGGGCAAGTGCCCCCTCACGCCCGAGGAGGTGGGACTGGTGCTGGCTGCTCTGGGCTTCTCGGCCAAGACCAGGCTCTATGTGGCCACCTACCAGGTGCGTGTGAGCATGGAAACCGCTGCTCTGCGCCTGGCCGGCAAGTGCCCCCTCACACCCGAGGAGGTGGGGCTTGTGCTGGCGGCGCTTGGCTTCTCGGCTAAAACGAGGCTATATGTGGCGACCTACCAGGTGGGTGCGAGTGGGAGTGGGCAATACACAGGTGTGTGTGCATGGGTACCGATCAGCTGCGCCTCGCAGGCAACTGCCCCCTCACGCCCGAGGAGGTGAGGCTTGTGTTGGCGGCTCTTTTACACCTGATACCACCCCTGTTCCCCCTTCTCTCGCAGCTGTACAAGGGTGAGAAGCGAATCGCCCCGCTGCGCCGCCTGTTCCATTGGCTGGAGGACAAGACGAGCCTGGCGACAGAGGAGGAGCGGAAGGTCCCCAACACCTGATATCACGCCTGTTTCGGTTCACTCCCCGTCCGCTGCAGGTGTATGGGGGAGAGAAGCGAATCGCCCCGCTGCGCCGCCTGTTCCCGTGGCTGGAGGACAAGACGAGCCTGGCCGCGGACGAGGAGCTACGGCCCTGCAACACCTAATTACACCCCTGTTTCTTCGTCCCCTGCAGGTGTATGGAGGGGAGAAGCGCATAGCCCCTTTGAGGAGATTGTTCCCCTGGCTGGAGGACAAGACGAGCCTGGCCACGGAGGAGGAGTTGAGGCCGTTTCTGGGGAAGGCATCGCTGCTGGCAGCACTGGACTTTTATGTCAGCCGCTATAGCGACGTGTTCGTGTCCGCCTCCCTCGGCAACATGCACAACGTGATGGTGAGTGAGCCCGGCATGACATAGTGGCCCTTTGGCTTGCCTTGAAGGGGTGGGGCGGTGGGCAAGGGAAGGCAGCGCTGCTGGCAGCGCTGGACTCGATGTGAGCCGCTACAGCGGCGCGTTTGTGTCCGCTTCCCTGGGCAACATGCACAACGTGATGGTGAGTGAGTGAGGCAGCATGGCAGGCTGGTATGTGAGGTGATGGGTCAGATATGACTGTGTTAAATGAGGCATCGCTGCTGGAAGCGCCGGACTTGTATGTGAGCCGCTACAGCGACATGTTTGTGTCTGCGCCACTTGGCAACATGCACAATGTGATGGTGAGATGTATGACATGGTGAGGCAGCCGCATTGTGACAGTGATGCGTTGTGATGGTGATGCACAATGTGACATCCCTCGTAGTAGTCATTGTAGGTAGGTTCACCTTTCTGTTCGAGGCATCCCCCTTATGTAACACTGGTTTGTTGTTTCAGGCTGCACATCGTGCATACTTTGGCGGTTTAAAGACGATAAACTTCAATGGTACACTCCTTGCAACGCTGCTTGCGGCTCCTCCAAACACCCTCAATTGGAACGAGTTCGTTCGTGCGGTGCGGATCGGGCATAGGTCGCGAATGGGCAAGATAAAGCCGAGGCGTGCCGGGCAATCCATCTACACCTATCCTGCTCCCGATTGCTTGTGCCCTGTGGACGTACCACCACCATCGCAACCCACTGCTGGCGCCATAACGAGTGTTACAAACAGTGGTTTGGATTTGTTAACAAGTGATGTTATTGATTCAGCCAAGGATGCTGAAGTGGCTACGGATGGGAGAGGTACCGGTATCCAGGAGATTGGAGATATAAGGAACAGTGGCAGGGATAATATGATAGGGCAAAGACATTGATACTTTGCATTCCACGCCTGAATATTGGATTCCAGGTAGGCTGGGAAATCAGCGCTGCATTGCCATGCCATCCGAGTTTGTGCTGAGAATCAATGAACCTGTTAGAGTAGGGTGGTAGGGATGATTCAACTATCGAGAAGGTTTGGTACAAGAGTGAAACCTAAGGGGTTGTACCCCACAGTGAGTACCCCACTAAAGCCTACCTAAACTATAATATATAAACATATGTTTGACACACCCCCATAGGCAAAGTGGGGGAGAGCAAGGGGTCACAAGACCAGTCAAGAAAGCCAAAGCAAGCTCAGGGTGGATCACAACGTCACCACACTCACTGAGCACAAGCAAAGGGCCACAAGGCCAGTTCACATGCAGAGGCATATATGTAACACAAACATCACAGTGATCTCTACCTAGCAAAGCAAGCATGCAGGTATATATACATATAGATCACAGTACAAGCAAGGCCTACAGCAAGTGAGGAAAAGTGGGCACAAGCCCTAGCATAGTGCAGAAACGCTGATGATCACCAGCCTCAAGTGCCTTGGTGAATATATCAGCAGTGTTGGCCCGAGTGGCCACGTAACGCAGACGAAGCTGACCACGCTGCTGCAACTCTCGAGCCAGAAAGTAACGCAGAGCGATGTGCTTCGTTCTGTGCTCCAGTCTGTGCTCCTCACACAAGGCAATGGTAGCCTTGTTGTCGGCGTACAGCACTGGAGGAGAACGAGGCCGCTCTCCCAAGTCAGTCAGCAGGTAGGTGAGCCAGCGTAACTCCTGTGCAGCCATGGCTGTGGCGTAGATCTCAGCCTCACAACTGGAGCTGAGAACTGAAGACGAGCGTGTAGAACGCCACGAAACTGAACCAGAGCCAAGGCTGAAGGTGTAACCCTGTGACGACCGCTGTGTAGCCTGGTCGTCAACCCAAGAAGCGTCTGAGTGCCCAGTGAGAACAACTGAGCTCCTCCCTCCAAGCACGAGCCCCATGCCTGATGTACTGCACAAGTAGCGCAGTACCCTCTTAGCAGCATGCATGTGCACCTTTCGGTGCCGACCAGGAGCCACGTAGCGAGCCAGAAGGCCAAGAGGGTACGCAAGGTCAGGACGAGTGCAGGTCATCAGGTACATGAGGCAGCCAACTAGCTCTGGGTAAGGACCACTCGGCTCTACGGACTCGTCCGAAGGTGGAGCTGAGAGCGAGTGACCTGTAGCCAGAGGAGTGGCCTGTGCCGAGGACCAGGTGAAGCCGAAGCGCTGAAGGACCTGCTGCACCATGTGTGACTGAGTCAGAGTGATGGTGCGGCGTGCTCTGTCCCGGGTGATCCACAAGCCAAGATAGCTTGTCAGCTCACCCAGGTCTGTGCACGTGTGTCTCTTCTGCAGCTCCGACTTCACGTGGGCGAGAGCCTCAGTGTCAGCAGTGGCAAAGACCAAGTCGTCGACGTACACGAGGATGTAGAACGGCGGCAGCGAAGTGTCGGTGCGTAGAAACAGCGACGGGTCAGCAGTCGACGGAGCAAACCCAAGAGCCGCAAGTGTCGTCCTCAGTGTGTCGTGCCACTCACGTGGCGCCTGGCGGAGACCGTAGACCGGCCGCCTGAGGCTCCACTGGGTACCAGGAGGGAACGACCCAGTGAAGCCAGGTGGGCGGCGCAGCCAGATCTCCTCGTGCAGGCTGCCCTGTAAGAAGGCTGTGCTGAAGTCAAGAGAGTGAAGCTCGTAGTCACGCTGAGCGGCAACGTGCAGCAGCACCCGAAGAGTGGTCATCTTCGGGGTGGGGGAGAAGGTCTGGAAGAAGTCTACTCCCTCTCGCAGACTGAAACCTCGTGCAACGTAACGCGCCTTGAAGACAGGCGGAGAACCTGGCGGCCGCTTCACCCTGAAAATCCACATGCCACTGACGATGTTCGCCCCAGGTGGGGGAACCTCGTCGACGTAGGTGCCTGTGGACTTCCAGGATGCCATCTCTGCGTCCATGGCTGTCTGCCACTGAGAGGAGTACTCACCCGCGATTGCCTCAGCGTAAGAGCGCGGGGTCGGGATGTCTGGAGCATCCGGGTCTCCCTCAGGGGCAAGCAGCATGGACACGAGATGAGGCGCAGCGGCTGCAAGACACTCAAGGTCCTCCTGCCTGTCCTCAAGGACGTCCGTGCCAAGAGCACACTCACCCCCGACGGACGGAGGACAGACAGACTCAGACTCAGCAACAAGACTAGCGACGTAGTCTAGACGACAGGCAGCAGCAAAGTCAACAAGCTCAGCAACTAAGGCAGACGTAGTAGCAGACTCAAACGACGGGTCAGTGACAACAGTGGCTAGCAGACGCGTAACAGTAGGGTGCTCAGCACGAAACCGGTCAGACTCGAGGTCCGCAACGACAGGCAGAGAAGACGCAAGAGGGGACGGCAGAGGAACACGCTGTGGAGGAGAGGAAAGACGACGGACTACGAGGTGGGTGTCGGGGACAGCCGGCAGACGCGGACGAGGAACACGACGACCGGAACGACCAGATCAGACAGGCGAGACAGGACGCGACGCAGGCTCACGACGCTCAGTAAGACTCCCTAGCTGCTCAGTGTAAGGAGAAGGAGCAGGCAGCGGTGAACCAGGCTGCAACGGAAGACCAGTAGACGAAGGGAGACTAAGAACCTGGCGAAGCACAGAGTCAGGCGGTGGCTGAGACGACGGAGACGGTGGAGCGAAGAACAGGCGCGGCTGTGCAGTGACACCAGCACCAGCAGCTCCAGTACCCCCAGCAGCTCCAGAAACTCCAGCAGCTACAGAACCTCCAGCGCCAGCTCCTCCAGGACCAGCTCCACCAACAGCATCACCCCCAGAACCGGCACCTCCAGTCCCAGGGTCTCCAGCCGCAGTGCCTCCAACAGCAGCACCCTCAGACTTAGCATCTCCAGCCCCAGCAGCTCCAGTACCTCCAGTACGAGCACCTCCGGGACCAGCACCACTCCCAGCTCCAGTGGCGACAGCAGAAGTACCTCCAGCGGCAGAGCCCCGAGCTCCAGAAGCGCGACCTTGACGGCGACCGTACCAGTCGTGCAGCTGCTGCGAGGTGAGAGGCACACGCGGACGAAGGCGGCTACTCCAAGGAAGCCGCGCAACAGCAGACTCAGAACCCTCAGCGCCAGAACCCGCAACAGCTCCAGAACCTCCAGCGCCAGCACCCTCAGCAGCTCCAGAACCTCCAGCTCCAGCGCCACCAGCGCCAGTACCTCCAGCAGCCCCAGAACCTCCAGCGCCAGCACCCTCAGCAGCTCCAGAACCTCCAACTCCAGCGCCCTCAGCAGCTCCAGAACCTCCAGCAGAAACAACTCCAGCGGCAGAGTCACCAGCTCCAGCGCCTCCCGCAGTAGGGCCCCTAGCTCCAGCAGCGCGACCCTTACGGCCAGCGTACCACTCAAGCGGCTGCTGTGGGGAGAGAGGGAGTCGACGACGAGAGTGCAGCGGCGAGGCACCAGCGGAGCGACTACGGAGACGGCCACTCCCGGGAGACTGCTCAGCAGACGCCTCAGTGCCCCCAGGCTCAGCACCCCCAGACTCCTCACACCCAGGCTCAGCACCTACAGTCTCCGCACCCCCAGGCTCCGCACCCCCAGGCTCAGCACCCCCAGGCTCAGCACCCCCAGGCTCAGCACCCCCAGGCTCCGCACCCCCAGGCTCAGCACCCCCAGCAGCAGCACCACCCTCAGCAGGACCTGAGTCACCAGTGACCTCAACCTGAGGAGGAGGGTCTACCTGAGACACACCTGAAGGAGAAGGACCGGGAGCGGGGAGGGGGTCTACCTGGGGAGCACCTGGAGCGAGGAAGAGCGGCGGGGGGGGGAGAGGGGCAGTGCGGTAGGGGAAGAGACGGTAAAAGGGAACCGACTCGTCGAACGTGACGTCCTGAGAGGGGAAGACACGGCGCGAGGTGGGGTGGTAAAACTGCCAACCAGGCGCGTCAGGGACGAAGCCAAGGAAGACACAGGGAACAGCGCGGGCGGAGAGCTTGTCCGCAGTGGTATCGCGGACAAAGGCACGAGCACCCCAGACCCGGAAACGCGACGCATCGCCAACCTTCCCCGTCCACAGCAGTGTGGGCGAGGTCTCCGGCAAGGAGACACGGGGCCAGAGGTTGAGCTGAT